CTCTGGGCGCTGGTGGTGCATGCCTCTAATCCCAGTGGCTTGGGAGGCTGAGGCTGGAGGATTGCAAGTTCAAAGCCAGCCTAACTTAGCGAGGCTTAAGCAACTCAGCAAGACCCTGTCTCCAAATAAAAAAATAAAAGGGGCATGTGGCTCAGGGATCTAGTACCCCTGGGTTCAATGCACAATACCCCCCCCCCCCAAAAAAAAAAAAAAGGCCCAGGTCCAACTCTCAAGGAAATTTTTTTTTTTTTCCATCTATTGAACCTCTAAAAGTCAAAGCCAAGTTACCTATTCCAAGACCAAGTCAGGGACAGGACAAACACTGCTATTCCAAAAATAAGAAACAAGGAAGTAGAAGAGAGTAACTGAAACTCAGCAAGGCAGACATTAAATCCTAAACCTTCAACTCGGGCATCTTCTGCATTCTGTGGCAAAGGTGGGAGGTGCCCTCAAGGCCCCAGGCAGCCCCACACCTATAGCTTTACTGGCCACAGGCCACATGGTTTCTCTTTAGGGCTGCACATTCTTGGGGAGTTTCATGGGTGAGGGTGGCATATTGCTGATTGCTTTACATCTCTGGGGAGTCCACGAGGCATGCCCCACTTGATGCTCCCCTGTAAGGACTTCTGCCTGGCCTCCTAGGCCTTCCTTTGAAATCCCAGTGGAGCCTGCCATGGCCGCATGACTCTTGCATGCTGTGTGCTGGCAGAACCAGTAACACGTACAGGTCATGAAGGTCTGCTGCTGGCACAAGCGGTGCCTGGACCTGCTTGAGGCATGGCTGCAGCAGCCGCAGTGACATTATGCCAGGTCAGAATCTAGGGATGGCCCTGCACAGCAAGCAGGTGCAGGGACCTCAGGGCTCCAGGAAACAATCTGCCCTTTCCAAACCTCTGGACTTGTGACGAGAAGGGCAGTTTTGAAGATTTCTGATTTGCCCTGGAGGATTTTTTCCAATTGTCCCAATGGAAGCAACTGGCTCATTTTTCTCCAGTTGATCTGTTTAGAAAGCAGGTGCTCAGCTACACCTTTTTCTTTGTTCCGTCCCTGATAAGGCAGTGAATTTTCTAAATCTTTCAGCTCTTTCCCTTTGCTCCAAATCAACTGAAAGCAGCCCAAAACACTTATGTAGCCCTTTCTATATTTGGTTTAGAAGTTTCTTCTACTAGATAAACCACTCCACCACTTTTAAGTTCATCCTCCTACAAATTTTCAGGGCATAAATAATCCAAATTCTGTGCAACAGCACAACAAAGATGGCCCTTCCCCAATTCCTAACAGCATCTCCATCTCCAAGACCACTTCCCGAGGCTCTTCACTGTCTGAGCCCTTTGTCAGAACTGCTGTAATGTTGCTAAGTCTTCTGGGTTTTTCCTGGTCTGCTCCTCCAAATTCTTCCAGCCTCTGCTTGGCACCCAATTCTAAAGCTGCTTTCATGTTTTCACGTTGTTATCGTAAGGCCCACTCCTTGGTACAGTTTTTTTGCATGAGTCCATTTTATGTTGCAAATAACAATATCACAGGCTGGGTAAGTTTTAATGAAGAGTTATTTTGGCTCACAGTCGAGGTGCCATTTCTGGTTATAGCTTCTTGTAGGCACAGTTGTAGATCTTCTGATCTCTCTTATAAAACCACCAGCACTCGATCCTGGGAGTTCCACTTCAGGTCCGGATCTAACCCCAATCACCTTCTAGGAGCCACTCTAAACATCACAGTTGGATTAAGTTCTGACCCTCCCAATATCTCACAATGGGGATAACATTTCATCACATAAACATTTGGAAGACACGCTCAAACCACATCCGAACCGTAAGAAGTTTCTTTCTTTCTTTTTGGTACCAGAGATTGAACCCAGGGTGTGCTTACCCACTAAGCCACATTCCCAGACTTTTTTTTTTTTTTTTGTGGTGCTGGGGATTGAACCCATGTGCATGCAAAGCAAGTACTCTACCAACTGAGCTATATCCTCAGCCCTCTCAGACTGTTTTTTATTTTGAGACAGGGTCTTGCTAAATTGCTGAGGCTAGCTTTGAACTTGCAATCCTCCTGCCTCAGCTTCTACTTTTTTCCCTTCCCATAGACGTAGATAAAAATGTCCCTTGTTCCCCAAGGTGACTAAGCTACAAATAGGACATTATCAAGAGCCATGTGTGTCAATCGTGGTGGTTAGAGCAACGAAGCCCCACTGCTATCTTTGAAGCATAGTGCATCATGCGGCATCCTGTGGTAACAGTTCTCAGGAAAATGCAGTATCTCAGCTCCCTATCTATCAAAGGTAACAATCAACCATGAGAGAATACAGACATATAGAAATATTAAAACTCACAATGATTCTGTCCTAGGAAATAAATGAGGATTTCCACAATCCCGACAGTCTTATGAGGGCAAACTAACTACTAGCAGTGATCAGAACACCATTTCACTCAACACAGCTGCTGGGTTAAGGATGAAGTCAAGCTCACACATAACCAAGAATCCTTAACCAGCACGACGGTCCATCCATCCAGGGCTGTGAGGTTACAGCTGGAGCTGGTAGGCTGTGTTCATTATCCAGGAGGGAACACTTGAAATCCAGTATATTCAGAGTGATTTGGACCTTGCTTGAGCTACCATGATTGCCTCTGAAGTGACAGATCAACCCATAACAGTCTCTCCTCCCTGCCAGCCATAAATGACGCCTTTAATCAGGATCCACTTTCCAAATGTGAGGGCAGCACTGTCTTGGTCTGGGATGCCGTAACAAAATATAATAGACTGGGTACTTTAGAAGCAGCAGGAATTTACTGCTCATAGTTCTGGGCTGAAAAGTTCAAGATAAGGGTAATGACAGACTTGGAGTCTGGTGAGGGTTCATTTCCTGGTTCACAGATGACACTTTCTCATTCTATCCCACTTGGCAGAGGGCGTAAACAAGCGCTGTTGGGCTTCTTTTACAACATCACTAATCCTGTTCATGAAAGCTCCACCCTCCTGACCTAACTGCCTCATAAACACCTCACCTCTTGGTACTATTGCACTGGGGATTAGGTTAACATGTGAATTTTAGGGAACAAATATTTGGACCACGGCAGCCATCACCTGCCCACCTATTCATTCCTTTCCAGGCCTCCCAATTCCACTCTCCTCTCTTCCTGTGTATGCACTGCTCAACTCAAAGCTCACATTATCTAAGTAAGCTCACACTACATGTTTCCTTAAGGTGAATTACAGAAAAATCCTCTTTCATTTCTTTTCCCCATCCCGAAAATATTTTATGAGAATTTTAGGGAAGAAAACCAAATAAATGAATCCCATGTCTTAGCAAGTAACAAGGTTAAGAGAATTCTGGGCCCTGGGGCCTTTGGGTACTTCCAGATCACACTGCCCAGCTTAACACCACAAAAATCTGAGCCAACCCTATATAAACTCTGGGTTCACCACTGGATGTTCCAGTAAGTTTCACAACTCTGTTCATCCTACCTCCATAAATGGTGTCTCACTTAAGTTTGGGTCAAAATAATGGGAATCAAAAATGAGAGACTGGGATGTAGCTCATCCTTAGCATCCACAAGACCTTGAGTTCCTTCCCCATCAACAACGACAACAAACGGCTGTGAGGGGCCAAAGCACAAGATATTATATCACCCTTGATTCCTCTTTCTCTCTCACACCTCATTCAATCTACACCAGTCTTAGTTCCAGAATCTTCTGGCAAATTTACCATGATAAAGAAAACCACAGCATCCTTGGCCACGTCCCAGAGACTCTGATAAGAAAAACACACTCAATTAAAAACAAATCATAAGATGATCTGAAGGACAGGTAAGTCTCTGAGGTATCACAGGCTGCCCATTTTTTAGATGCTTTTGATTTCTGTCCCGCCACCTGTTCAGGATTTTGTTGCTTTTTTTTTTTTTTGGTACCAGGGATTGAACTCAGTGGCACTCAACCACTGAGCCACATCCCCAGCCCTATTTTGTATTTTATTTAGAGACAGGGTCTCACTGAGTTGCTTAGTGCCTCGCTTTTGCTGAGGCTGGCTTTGAACTTGCGATCCTCCTGTCTCAGCCTCCCAAGCTGCTGGGATTATAGGCATACGCCATGGTGCCCGGCTTTGTTGCTGTCTTGCACATTTAACCTACTTGGAAGATGTATTGCCTTAACTTATTGTCCTGTTCTTCCATTGATTTTAAGAGGATATATAAAATCCTAACATTAGGACTGAAAGAGTTCTGAATAAAAACAAAAGCTCTCAAAGTGTTCACTCAATGATCCCAGTTTGCAAATCTCTCTACATAAGACAAATGGCACTTCTTTTGCTACATCTGGTCTGCCAGAGGACACAAAAACAATTCTAACACTAGGCGAGATCTGAGATTTCACACAGCTAATACAGCCTGAGTGTCCCTAACCTAAAAGTCCCAAATCTGAAAATCTTTGAGTGCTAACATGATGCTTAAAGTTTCAGATTTTGGAGAATTTCTTTTTTTTTTCTTTTTCTTTTTGGTACTGAAGATTAAACTTAGGGGTACTTGACCACTGAGCCATATCCCCAGCCCCATTTTGAATTTTATTTAGAGACAGAGTCTCACTGAGTTGCTAGTGCCTCTCTTATTGCTGAGGATGGCTTTGAACTTGTGAGTTTCCTGTCTCAGTCTCCAGATCCACTAGGATTACAGGTATGCACCACTGTGCCTGGCAAACTTTGGAGAATTTGATTGCTTTTGGGGATTAAGAATGTAACAAATAAAGTCTATGGAAATATTCACAAATTCAAAAAACTCTGAAATTTGAATCACTTCTGGTCCCAAGATGAGGGACACACAATCTCTATTACACGCATAGATTCAGCCCAAACAGCACAGAAACGCTTTTAATATCTACAAATCAAATTATATATTATATAAACCTGAATGTTTTCAGAATCGTCTTCTAAGTCAAGTTCTCCAATATTTTTTTAGCAATCCAACGTTTTATGCAAATCAGAAAGCAATCTTTAGAAACTGAAAGTTTATGACTGATGAATTTCAATATTTTATTAAAATAGCAATTTAACCACAATTACCAAGAATACCTTAATTTTGTCCCCCCACCCCCAAATATGCAGCACAACACAGTAGTGATTTCAAATATCCTTGATCATGATAACCAACAGAAAATATCTCAAAGTCAAGTTTGCAACTAAAAACTAGACTGTGGAAAAATTCTGTATTAAAAAAGAAACATAAAGCTCTGAAACAGAATTCTTTTATCTGTCCAAAAATAAATGCCAGTGCACCACCCACCTGACAATACTGCTAGGTTTTTGTTTTCTTTATGCATAGTATAACATCTCATTTTATTTACTTTATAAATAAAATTAGGATTTTTTCATCTTATTTAATGTTCCTTTTCAGCTTCACAAAGAAACCAGTAAATAAAACTGTCAACGACAGTCACAACATACGCTCTCACAGCAAGATAAAAAACTTGAAAATATGCAGAGATGCATCTAGGCTATTTTACAAAAAGACAGATTCAAAAAGTGCAAGCAAAGTCTGCAGGTTTTGAGGGGAGCTTTAGGCACATCCATGTCTTTAAAGCAAGCTTCAGAATGAAATTCCAGTTTGTTCTTCATGACACCTGTTTAAGTCTTTTTTTTAAAAAAAAAACCAAAAAATACATCTCATCAAATGTAAAACAGGGAGTCTTGTGTCCTAAGAGCGAGGGCTCAGTGGTGGCGCGTCCGGCCCTTTTTTATTCTGGCAGGCTTTGGTTTGGGGATGTACTGATTATTTGCCTGGTACTCCAGTTCTTTACGGAAGTAATGAATTGCTTTATTTAAACCTTCTTCCAATGGGACCTGTTGACAGAGAAAGTGAGAGAGAGAAGGTCACATTCACAGAAGGACTTGGTTGAAAATAACAGCAGCAGACTGTCTCAGAAATGCTGATGTGTGGTTAGCTGGCTTCTTTCTGAGGACACTCACAAAACCATTCACTGGTCATGAAAGCAATCAGACCCACCCTGGAAAAGCAAAGGTCCCTCCAAAGCCAGAGTGCCCTGTGTAACTGAACACGTGACACTCTGCTGATGCACAGTAAGATCCAACCCCCATAAGACCCAGAACCACCTCTTACTGGCATGATATCTCTTCCAGTGTGAATAATGTACACAGTCCATTTGTTCAGAAGAAATCTACAATGCAGTGGAGGGAGAATGCTTTGAGAAGACCATCTGCATTGACCCACAGACTGACCCACATCCTCCCATGTGACGTTAACCCTTTGCACTTTCTGGCAGATGGTCCACTTGTACCCACTCTGACTTGGCAATCTGAGAGGAACCACAACACCACACCATGTAAAGCAACCTTAATTTGTAATGATGGTTTCACAAGTGGCTAAATATATCAAAACTTATCAAATTGTACATTTTAAATATGAACAATTTGCTGGGTGCCCATTATACCACAGGCCTGGCTGAGATTCTAAAAGCACAGGAAACAAAAGCACAAAATAGACAAATAGGATTTCACCAGACAGCAAAGGAAACAATCAAAAGAGTGAAGACAATAATGCAGAATGAGGGACTACACTGGCAAACTATAACCTCTGACAAGGAGTTAATACAAGAATACACAAGGAACTCAAAAAAATTAAAAAAAAAAAGGAAAATCTAAAAGATTGGTCATAGATCTAAACAGACATTTTCAAAACAAAATATAGAAATGGAGAACAGGTACACAAAAAAATGTTCATCACTAATCATTAGGGAAATGCAAATCAAAACCATAAGGAGATACCACCTCACCCTAGAATGGCTACTATACCTCTACAAGTTGCCCCCCACCCCACGAGGACAATTAAGTTGGAGATGTCTAATGTCTAAATTAAGTTGGAGATGTTCCCTTAGATCAGACTCACTCAAAATTTCTTCTGAAATAAAACTACTACAAAGAACAGAAGCTAATGATAAACTCATATTTGAAGAGTCAGAATATTGTACATCTCAACTACAGATAAGTAAAAATACTGACTGTACACACCTCACACAATGCGACATTTTCAAATGTAGTGAACGTGGTTGTAACTTAAAATAATTTTTTTCCTTAAAATATAGGTTCTACTAGACTAATGGCAAATTCCTCAAAAACAAAGACCCGGCATGCTTGATGTGACTTGTTATGCCCAGCTGGGATTATCAGGTTTTGTTAAGTCATTTTTTATTTAGTTGCAAGTTTTTATTTCATTCGTCAAGTTTCTATGGCCTTCAACAGACAACTCAGATGTAGACCTCACAGGATAAGGGTCACACTGAACTCTCACGTCCCTTCAGGGCTTAACATTCTAGGATTCTATTTACTCAGCTCACTAGGACATACGTTTTTAAAAGGTAAAATGAGGTCTGAGCTGCATCTGTCTCTGACTTTGCCCGATGGTGAGGCAGCCTCACCTGCTGGGCCACACCTAGGATGGCCCTACCTTTACCCAGCACAGAATGTGTGTCTGGCTGTGACAGCTGCTGGGACTGCTCCTGTGCTCCTGTGTCCTGCCCCTGCCCCACTGGCACATGTGCAGTAAGCAAAAGGTGAATGGTCAGACACAGCAGAGTGTGTGTGGCCAGTCCTCTAGAAAGGTGTTCTCTGAAGGATAGAGACTTACAAGACAAGAACGAGTAGCTGCGCCAGCTCTGGGGGAGGGTATTCATTGGCAAACGAGGAACACCCAATCATCTGCAGTGGGAAGGAGCAGGAGGCAGCCGGGACCATGCATCATTACTTTTTAAAAATATTTTTTTAGTTGTCAATGGCCTTTATTTATTTGTATGGGGTGCTGAGAATCAAACTCAGTGCCCCATATATGCTAGTTAAGCACTCCACCACTGAGCTACATCCCAGCCCTGCATCATTATTTTTTAAACTCCTAAAATGATTCCAATGTGCAGGTGAGGGAAGGGGCCAGCCCCACTTGACAGCATCTTACAGGCCAAAGAAGGCTGTGACTCAGTCTGAGAGCACTATGATGGCATGGAGGCCCACCTTCCTCAGCACCCTTCAGTCTCACATGCTTTCAAACTGGGGATCCCCTTGCATGGGGCTGACATAGACCTGCTCGCTCCTCTTCACACTATAACCCTGCCCAATGCTGCATGGGACAACCAGGGATCTTTAAGAGGCTGACCACACTGCCACCGTGCTCTCGAACATGGTCTTCATGATTGAGCCAACTTGAGACTTTATGAGAACAAAGCCCACCAGGCCCAAGCCATTTCCCCAGCTACAAAGGAGACACATAACACCATTTAATAGCCTGGAGAAAACCCTCCCTCTGCATGGATGTAGAGCCTACCTCACTCCACTGGGGGCCACCCATCCTATGAGGACACAGGACCCCAGAAGAGAGAAACCCTCTGGAGCCAGTGTTTCTCCCCCACACTCACCACAGGCTCCCACCCCAGCATCAGCTTTGCTTTTTTGATGTCTGGTTTTCTTTTCTGTGGGTCATCTTGGGCTTCAGAGAGAAACTGAATTTCACTTCCACTACCTGAATTACAAAAAAAAAAAAAAAAAAAAACGATAAGGTAAGAGAGAATCCTAAACCACTAAGATGTTCTTATATTATCCACCTCTGAGTAAAATCCTAACTGCAGAGTAAACAGGGGTGCAGGCCATGTGAAAACAGCTCCTCCAAGTCACCCAGCTGCACAGGGGACTGTCCTTGGGAACCTAGGGCATGGGTGTGGCTGAGCTGACCCGCAAAGGCTCCCTTCTGGATCCATAAGAGCTTGGTAAGGAAGGGGAAGGTTATCCTCCTCTCCAGGCCCAAGTTCCCTCCCAGGACAGTGAGGGCCTGGTTCAAGGAAGACCACCCACACAGGTCACAAATGCAGACACATTCCCTGGGAATGACCCCCATGTACATGAAAACCACAACTGTGGGATGGGGCCAACTCTGAGGTGGACACTCCCAGTGGGCCACACTGGGGTGTCTACACCCTCCCCTGGAATTAGGTGGCTTTCACCTTAACCAGCCGAATGATGGGGGAATTTCCATGGCCAGTTCCAGGTCTATGGCTCACCAAGACCTGGTCACTGATGCTCTGGCCACAGCACGTCCCAAGCTGACACATAAGATGTCCAGCTACCTTGCTGGAGGGATGACATGGAGGACAGAAATGCCTTGGTCCAGCATCTGAGGTGGCCTAGACCCCAGGGACCGGAAGAGTAAAACCACAATAGTGACCTTCAGAAGTAATCCCTAGTGGAGGCTGGCCCCAGTGTAGAATCTAGAGCAAATGAAATGGTGGTTGACTTCAGCCAGTGTGGGTGATGTGGTGTGATGCACGGCCACATGGAGCAACAATGGGGAGATCCTGTGGCTCCTCAGGCTGTAGATCTGAGTCTCTCAAACTATCATCCATGTAGGACAACCTAACACAATCACATGTAGAACACTGAAAACAAATCTCTTGCTCCTAACTCCATGCAGATCTCCAATTAAAACCGAATAAAACCAACCCCACCTCCTTTCTCTATTACTTCGAGAATTAGAAAACAACTAGGTGCTCTTGATAAAAAGTTCTGCTTTGATCCAATTCAATTGGCTTATATTAATTATCCATTTTTCTAGTCAAGGTGTTATTAATGGATAGGGTAAGCACAGAAAACGTCACTTAAGAAGTGGTTTATTCTACTTACCAACAAGGTTTTTAATTAACTGAGCAAATTCTAGGATTGTGTGTTCTTCTGGGTTCCCCTAAGGAAGAAATGGTTTCTGGTTATGAGCGTAATGAAGCAGTAACCTCCACTCCAACTCTTCCAAGTCACCCATATTTTCAGAAATGTCTGGTGGCCCACCACATCCCACAAGGTGCCAGCCTCGCTTGCCACCCTGAATGACTTCAACTTGCTAAGACAACAATTGCTCAACCTTGCCAAGTGCTAACTGCACCCACCTTTACTGGCATCCTCCAGAATGTCCACACACAAGAACAGTCAAGGGTATCCACTGGTTGACTTTCTGGGGTAGACACTTTTTTACCTAACATTCCTAAATGTTTGGTGCCACTTATTATGAAGGTTTGGATTATAAAATCGGCTTTCTGAAGCCAATATATTTATTCCCCCTGGGTGTAACTATGTTAAACAACTGTGATGATAAAGGACTCGCAAACCTGTGGGGAAAACAGTAACAGAAATGGATGCACTCACAGACAAGTGTTCTGGACAAGCCAGAAAAGCAGTCTGCTAGTTTTGTAAAGGGAATTTATTTTGGGGGGCTTCCAGGAAAACCATTTTCCCCTTTTCTTCTTTCCATCACACATTTTAATAGGTAATTCCACTTCCCTCCCCAGTCCTGTAACTCTTATTGTATCCCCAACACCCCCAATTATAGGACACCACAGTAAAAGTTGGTAACTATATAACCCCAATACTCCTCATTTCCCATTTCTTAGGCTGGTCTGAAACCAGATGGTAAAAGGGGCAGGAAGGGACTTGGGCCTACTTATGAGGATAAAGAAAGGCTGAACTGGAAAATAGAGCAATGGGAATTTTGGAGAAAGTGGCTCTGTGTTTCTTGGGCTTTCGGGTAGACATGTGATTCAGATTTTTGAAAGACAGGTTTCTAAAATGAGGTGGGCATTCCTAAACGACCCTCCAAACAACAACAACAACAACAACAAAAAAAAAAAACAGGAAAGAAGGAACATGGTACCTGGGTGTTTTTAAGTAGCGTGTAATAAAAATGAAGGGGTATGGGTGACCCAGGTCTTTGCACAAGAATGTTAAGAGTACCCATCTCGTTTTGGAAACCTGCCTTCCTAAAATCTGAATCACGTCTGTCTCCAGCATAGCACTAGCACAGCAGTACTTACCAGGTTGACAGGGCTGCTGACGTTGCTGTTCATGAGAGCCACCAGGCCATTCACCAGGTCACTGGAAAAGAAGGGGAGCTGGGTCAGGCGCTGCCTGCCAAGGTGCACCAACGCTAAGTATCACGTATGAGCCCTCCCAGAAGAAAATTCACACCTCTCAGAAAACAAAAACCCAAATGGAAAACAATGTTAAAAGGAAATCCTGCAAATTAAGATGGTGCTCACAACATCAGCACATTCATGAATGGAATGACATCTATGGCATCTGGGATTTGCTCTCAGGGGGCAGATAGCGGTGGTTAAAACGTGACGGTAGCTGGGTGGTGGGGCCGAGTTTGCCACATTTGTGTATTTCTGAAACCCTCTTAACAATTTAAAACCAAAAACACGTTAAAATATGCACCCCTCCAAAAAAATGGAATCTGCAGTTTTCAATGGAAGCCTATGTTTAATGTGAACTCACATTTGTTAACCTATATGAAAGCATGTGATTATTTTATAAGATACACCAAAATGAATGAATTCCAGTATGTCTCCCCATACTGGCAAATCACAGATAAAGCCAAACAATGCTGAGAGTTGGAATCAACTGGAACATTGTTCTCTACCCGCCCCCCCACAACTTTCAACCTGCCCCCTCCCAAAACATCTCATACGAAACTGTCAGGGATATCTGGATGTTTCAAATGAATTGTGATTGGGCCATGAAGGTGAAGATAAGTAAGCAAATTTTCGCTTACCAAGGTTTGGTTCTTATTTTCAGAAGCTTTAAAGTGTGGCTCTGTTAAAAAAAAGTTACTTCGTAAAAATGACACCTCACTGCTAAACACAAGCATTTTCTCTAATGCCATTCATTAGCTCTGTTTCTAAGAAGACTTTTAAAGTTCCATCCTGGTGGTTCAAACCAAGTCTGTTTTAAAACCTGTCCCTCCGCTTCCTCCATTATTACCAGCAAGAAGCAGGTCACTATGGGTCATGATCAACTCCCAAAAGAAAACCCCAGATCTTTTTTTTCTTTCCTTTTGTTTGGGGGATTTTTTTTTTTTTTTTTTGTGAGATATTTAGTAAACAAGTTATTTCTGGTTTTTTTTTTCATTTTCAACAAATGGGTATTTTATATGAACATGCTTAACATTCTATTCTCACAGATAGAGTGCAAATGCAAATCACTGTTGACCTTGGATGATTTTTCTTTTTGAAGAAACTGGCAAAAAGTCACTTCATCACTATGGCAGTGATCATTACATGGCAATTCATTCTCTTATGGCTTCCATCTGTGCATATTTGTAAAGAGACATTAAAAGCTGCCATACAATAGCATCCACAATAGGTTTTAATATTGAAACTGGGGTTGGGGAATCATATTAAGTTCCTCATTGGGAGAAGGGGGAGGGAGGGCCATGCACCTTTTATATAACAAGCTGGCAACTTTTAAGGTCAAAATCACATAGATCACACTCATTTAACCTGAAGCTCTTTAAAAGTGTCATTTTGACAAAGTGACTTTTTAAAAAATATAGCATGCCTTTGTTATGTGAATGAGGATATAAGTTGATCATGAAACTATCAGACATAGTCATGCCAAATGTCAATGCAGATGACCACCTAGACTGAATTCCTGCGATATTGTTGCACCAACTGTAGATTTGGGAACAGTTAAATTTAGTACAGCTAACTATGGATTCAGATGTACAGTTTTTACCATGAAGTAAAATATCTGACTTTTAAAAAAGTAACTTGTTAAAAATAGCAAAACTTTGGTAAGTTAATGATCTCAGATGGCACTTGAATAACTACACTGTGTATGCTGGAAATTCTGTCCCCAAGTGTGGCAAAGTTCCTGAAACCTTGTCATCTGGGACAACACTGACCCGAGATGACACTGCAGTATTATGGAGAGGGTTTTCTAAGATGCTTTGCACCCACATTTCTAGGAAAACCAACCCTCTAAGTTGGCAGGGAGATCACCATGTGTGTGACAGCAGAGTGTCAGAGCAGAGTGGGAGAGTATTCAGTACAAGCACTGATTATTACAATATTTGAATCACTATCCCCTCTTCAAAAAAAGAGAACAACTGAAGCTACTTAAATGAATGTTGATGTAATATCTTTGAAGTCACGTGACCAGTAAGAAGCAAGAGTTCTAACTGGTTTCCTTTTTATTACACTCCATCTGGTGTGGGTGGGCACTGGGGAAATTTGGGGCCACTAATTAGGTAGTCCAAGATAAGTTTCTATAACTAAAAACATTAAGACCTCCCCAGGAGAGTGCATGACTGGGGGTGGGCAAAGGAGGATGGGATGAAGATGTATTACTGTGAAAAGATGATACTCAATACACAGGAGTCTGACTGATATGGTCACGCTACAGAAATGTACCCAAATAATTTCCTCCTGAGTTAAGTGCTTTGAAATGGAAACAGTCCTGAAGGAGGGGCAGCTGCCATTTCCCATTAAACTGCACATGGACTGATGTGCTTGTGCTGGCTGAGATGGGGCTGCCCAGACCTGTACCCCACAGCTACCACTTTTCTACTCTAGTGCCCCATGGCACCAGGAACAGTATTTTTGGATTGACAGGCATTCTGGGGTATTTGCATTAAACAGCAAAAATACATGGTGTCCAAATATAGAACAGGGTTTTACAATGATTCAGGATACCAGAAACTTTTACAAAAATGATAATAGCTATACAATGGTGAATGATTCTTTGGACTATTAATGGCTTAACACAGTAACTCAGAATCCACACCACTTTCCACAGTTAGTCACCAACTGAACTGACCAACAAAAACCTAGATTATAAGGACTGCCAAAAAAAAAAAAAAAAAAAAAAAAAAAGCTATCATGTGAAGCTATTAAAAAATTACTTCTATCTGCGTTTAGTTTCACCATAAAATTTGAAGTTAGGACACTATTTACCACATATCTTTAATGAAGACTCTCACCTCCACCCTAGAAAGGCATGTTTAAAATGAGCCAGATTTTGGAATCTGCAGGTTGAGTGAATAAGGTCCCCTCTCTTTTTTTTTTGGTACCAGGTATAGAACCCAGGGAGGGTTAATCACTGAGCTACATTCCCAGCTCTTTCTATTTTTTATTTTGAGACAGGGTCTTGCTATGTTGCTTAGAGCCCTGCTAAGTTGTGGAGCCTAGCTGTGAACTTGTGATCCTCCTGCCTCAGCCTCTCAAGTTGCTGGGATTACAGACCTGTGCCACCATGCCCAGTAACGCCCTCTCTTAATTAAGCCTGCAGTGAAGTCATGTAAGCCACACCCAGCACTGGGCAACTTCACCTACACAACACTAGGTGGCAGTAAAAGATCAGCTGAGCAGCTATAGACATGAAGAGGAAAGTCAATCTTCAACAGAGAATGGCAAAAGTTTTCCCATCATGATATTAAAATTAATCAATATATACAGGGTCATTGAAGTATTTAGCACATAGAATAGATACAGAATTGTCCACTCTGCATTCCCCCTCTTTCAAATCAGTGCTAAGAGCCATACCTGACATACTGGAATGCCCTTGTTTGAGATCCAGATCCATACACCTAGAAGGAAAGCAACAGTTAAGACTCCTGAGAAAAACCGCAATGGCACCGGAAAATGGGGTTCCTTGGAATTCTGGGAACAACCTTAAAAGTGATCCCCAAAGGTGGACAGTGACACTGTTCAAAGAGTCTTAAGCCACATCTCACATTTTGTACTTCAATTATGCCCAATGATGAGAAGGCAGCAGAAATAATTAATGCATGCATGTATATGTGTATAAAGTTTTTCCTCAAATTATGGTATCTGAAGGAATCTACTATTCCCAGGGTCTCATGAGTTTCTTGATCCTAGAGTCCACCTGAATAACAGACCCAAACCCAAAGAATAAAGCGGGTTCAATTGGGGTTCTTCACTCTGGTTGTCTCTCAGAACAGCTGGTACTCCTCTGCTGCCCAGGTCCACAGACTCTGAGGTGAGGCAGGCATCTTTCAGTATTTCTATACCTAGCTCCCCAGGTGATTCAAGAGAGCCACCCAGGGGAATGGACGCGAGACCAAAGTGCCATCTTATTAATCCGCCTCTTTTCTCCTGAACTTAGAATCAATTAATAAGTTCAGGAGGTTCCTGTAGAAACCAAGCATGGTGGAATGTGGTTAGAAGGTTGCCCATAAGGCCATGGGCTCCTCCTATCTCACTTGTCATCTCCATATCAACGGTTCTCAGTCTTGGCTGCACAGTAGTGTCCCCTGGTAGCCTTCTGCAATTACCAAAGCTTAAGCACCACTGGCAGACAGATTTAACTGATCTGGGCGGGACCGTGCATCATTACTTTTTAAGGTCCTAAAATGATTCCAATGTGCAGCCAAAGCTTAAAACCACTTAGTATGCACCAACCCGTGCCAGGAGAGATTATTAAAACATGGGTTTCTGGACTATATCCCTGAGTTTTTGACCCAGAAGATCTGGAGTAGAGCCAGATTAGAAATTCACATTCTAATAATTCTGCAAGTGATGGTGACACTACTGGGCCTTGGACCATGCTTGGAGAACCACTGCTCTAACTGAGCAGAGGACTATGATGACCATAAAAATTCAATTATACACTTTGCCCTGCTGCCTTTCATGTACAAGAAAGCAGTGAGGCAGAAGGAGTGGGATATTTCAACTGAGCAAGTTTTCATTGTTTTATGTTTTGAATACTCTAAGTACCATAGTAGCAAAGTCCCTGTCAATGAAATGTAAACTCTGAGCAGATCTATGGAAACCTACTTGTCAAGGAGGGGATATAGGAACTGAATGGGAGTTTGGACTAGGCATCGAGTAACAATCCCTTTTGCTTAAGCCTATAATCCTTGCCCCCTTTCTTGGAAAAGTTGCAACCATTCCTCTTTTGGAGATGTGAAATTGAGGTTCAGTGTGTTAAAGTGCCTCAGGCTGCCTCATTGTGATGTTAGTGGTGGGCTGGTAGTGAAATGTGTGTCTTATACTCAGTCACTGCACCCTATATGATGGATTTCACAGTTTCTACTCTGGGAATGTCTTTTGCAGAGATTTCCAAAGTCTGACTAAAATTTTGTACTCCTAAACATGCTGGAACTGTTATGAAAAGGAAATTTTAAGAAACACTAGATAGTTTTACTTTGTGCATGTGCTTTAATTTAACATTAATGATGGCTAAGGAAGTAGCAACAGAAGGACATGAATCTTTGTAAATTGATGTATCTAAACTATGGGTTTACTCACAAGATTCCCAGTCTCACAAACAAACAAACAAACAAAAATTCAATTATAATGGAAATGTGTCTAGATTGTTACAGAGATAATTTTTGTGTTTCTACTTACTGAACAAGGAACACCAAAAAAAGAAAAATGCAAACAGCAAATACACAATCCCATGGCCTTTACACACATGCCACTGTATTGCACAAAAACACAATAGCAGTGGCTAACATACCGTACACTTACTATATGTCCGGCACCAGCTAAGACTATAGGGTCATTCTTTCCTTTCATCCTCATGCCAACCCTATGAGGTAATTACTTTATTATTCCATTTTACAAGTGGGGAAATCTGCAACACAAACACACAGTACACAGGTTCTCTTTCCACGATGCATTTCTACACCACTATGCCATGTCTCACGTTCTTTGCCCTGCTAGCTATGAGTTGTCTTGTCTGCTTCCCACCTGGCAGAGGGGCAAGGATTATAGGCTTAAGCAATAATCTTTTAGGGACCAGCTCTGATGCCACTCTCGGCAAGATTCATCTAAGCTCATTCCCCAGGAATGTCTACTCCACATGCCAGTTTCCCCCAACTGTGGGCTCACAATGCTTGGCATAGTGCAAGTGCAGGATGAATACTTGCTAAACAATAACCTGTGAATTCTGTAGTTTACAAAGGTTGAGTTTTCTTTATTTGAAATGCATGGGAACACACTGTTTCAGGTTTCAATTTTTTCAGATTTTAGAACATCTGCATATACATCATAAGACATCTTAGGGATAGGACCCAAGTCTAAACACAAAATTCATTGACTTTTCATATACATCTTAGACACAGAGCCTAAAGGTAATTTTATGTGACACTTTTAGTGTGTCTGTCTTTTGATGGTGACCTAGTAAACAAGATCAGATGTTGATCTTTCCATCTGCAGTGCCGTGCTGGCACTCAAAAAGTTCTGGATTTTCAGATTGAGGATACTCAACCTGTACCATTACTGAGAAAGAAGAGACTAAAACAGAAGGCTCTTTGAGAGATTTCCTAATCTTATAGTCACAGAGAACAACAAGTCACCAGAGTTTCTATCTGCTTGCAAGCTTGTGGTGGCAATAAGGTGGCTGCGAGAGCAACGGTTTTGGAGTAAGCCTGACTATAATACCCCATTACCCCTCCCTATCAATTTGGCCTGACCTCCCATCATATGGTCTGATCTCAAAGAGGAGAAAGTCAGCAGCTCTGCAGACAGCACCAACCCCAGCAACCTCCCCCAGTACTGCGTTCAGGAGCTCATCCCATCAGATTTGAGCAGGTGGGAAAAGGGCGAGGAACAGGTAGGGAAGAAAAGAAGGCCTCAATGTTCCTGAATGTCATGTTTTTTAAAGCAGGTTTAAAGGTTGTTCTCCTTATCTTAATACACATTTACACTTGCTGATCCCATCAGTTTTAGCTCTATTTAGGTTCTGTTCTAGGGTAGATGGCTCCCCAGTAAGAAAAGGCTGACAAGACATAGAAACAGCAGCAGCAAACCTCAGTAAAGGGACAGTGAGGAAAAATGAGTGGGACTCTTAGAAGCAGATCCCAACTCCTGACTAACACACCCAGCTCTCTGGCCTCACTGACACTTCTGATATATTTGTCTGCAAAGGCAGAGGCCATATCTTTTTTACTGATCTGGCACAAAGTGGGTGCAAAGCAAAGGCCAGCATATGAGTAACACAGGGGTCTGGTGCCATTGGGAGCATCTGCACAAGCCAAGGCCTCTGTGCTGTTCTCCTAACAGAAGACAGTGAGTGGGCGACTTAGTCTTCTGACTTGGTTTCATGGAACTGGGAGATAAGGAAAGAGTCAATGCCACTCCTGGTACCTGAGGGACTATGGGCTGTGTGTAGCTCAAAGGAGCATGGTGTCTTAGGAGTCCCCAAGAAGGGAGGGGGCCAGGTGAGAGAGAGAACTGTCCGCTGACCACATGCCACTGTTCTCTACCGCTGAGCCTTACAAGCTCAAGATACCAAAAGATTCTCTGCTAAACCAAACTTTAGTCAGGCTCCAAAACTTCTCCTAGGTTTATCTGTTCACTTTTTCTAAGATCTAGTTTTAGCAAGAACCCAGCTAAGTCAGTTTAGCTAGAAACTCCACCTCCATATCTAATTGCCTTCCATATTTGATCAGGTTCCTCATCCTCCATTTTCCCTCAGGAAATGTTTGCTCACTCTGGCCTGTCTTCAGCAAGAATCGTATTAGATTGGTTTAGCCAGAATTCCCCTGACCCCCAGTGCTTCCTCTTATTAATTTTCCACCTACCAATCCCCAAACTGCTCCCTGGCTACAAATTCCCACTTGCCCATGGTGTACTTGGAGCTGAGCTCAACCTCTCTCCATTGATACAAAATCCCATTGCCATGTTCCCCTATCTACCATCACAGTTCTGAATAAACTCTTCCTTTCCATGCTTTTAACAACCTGCACCGAAGAAATGTTTCTTTAATAGATCCTATGGCTGTGCTTCATGAATGAAGGTCCCATGTCAGGAGCCCTCAAAACACTACAGCATCAGTGAGGGGAATTACCACACCAACTCTGAATTGGGTCTTAGAAATATAGTTGTCTAAAATTGCCCTCTGGAAAAACATTAAGCCTTTTAAATTGAAATAGAACTCGATCCAGACCCCAATTCTGCCACATCTGGGATGACCTGGGTAAATTCATTTTAATGAAGCTGTTTTCTTATCTGTAAACTGAAATAAATCAATGGAAAAACAGAAATCCAACTGTGAGTGTATATGCTTTAATTGAACTGTGAGCCAAAGCCTCTTCAAAAATAAACTTAAACCTGAACCATACTCATTTATTTTTTTTCTTTCTTTTTTTAATATTTATTTTTTAGTTTTAGATGGACACAATATCTTTATTTTATGTTTACGTGGTGCTGAGGATCGAACCCAGTGCCTCACGCATGCTAGGTGAGTGAGCTACCACTTGAGCCACATCCCGAGCCCCTCATTTATTTTCTATACCTAGACTGGACAACATATCTTCTGAACTTCTATGTGATTTAAAATGCAGCTTTAATGTTCAATGCACTAGTCTGTGCCCTCACTTCATTCTCAGGGCAGACATCTGATATGACTGCCAGTAAGACCCTCGGGCGCGCCCCAAGGCAAAGAGGGCTACTTGGGGGTACCTGGAAGATAAGTGCTTGCATTAAGCCAGCTCAGCAAGGGGTAGGGAAAGGACTGAGCTGGTGCCACCAACCTGAGGATGTCTTTTGTCTTAGAAAGACTTGTTGGAATCATGGCAACAAGGGGAGACAGATTATCTCCTTATTTCCCCTCCTTAGTGAAGCCTTTAAGAGCAGCCTAGGGCATGTGTGAGGCATTGGATTCAATCCTTAGCACCACATCAAAATAAATAAATAGGGGCTGGGGTTGTAGCTCAGTGGTAGAGTGCTCGCCTCGCATGTGGAGAGTGCTGGGTTTGATCCTCAGCACCACATAAAAATAAAATAAAGGTATTGTGTCATCTACAACTGAAAAAAAATATTCAAAAAAAAAAAAAAAAAAAAAGAGCCTAAGTTGAAAAAGTTGAGTGTGTCCTCAGACAACTTCCACAGAGTCCTCTACAAGAGCCATAAATGACATCTCAATTGTACAGAGAAGACAAATTCTTCATGAGAAACAGAATTGTGTGTGACAAAAGAACATAAGATCCCTTCTGAAAGGCCTCCCTCAGGACTCCTGCCTCTGCACCCAGAAGGCGTCTAGAAGAGACAAGAGCCTGGGGTATTTTGGATTAATGGCCCTCACAATGGCACCAGCAATCTTTCCCTTCCTGCCTCTGGCCCAGAAGCTTGCAGGACCTAAAGACAACACATGAATTATTACTCTCTGCCAACAATGTGTGCACTTGTGGGGCCAGCCAGGGGCCGGCTCCCCTACCTAACACTGGGGCCCAGGTTGCTGCCAAGGAGGCCATAAATCAGGAAGTTGTTCCTAGGAAGACTGTTAATAGTTTACCATGCCAAAAAGGTGGCTCTGATCTGGTATGAGGAAGAGCTATTGAGCACAGTGGCTAAAAAGGCTCCAGGGCTGTCCCTAAGAGGTGGAATTCTTAACAGAGCAGAAGGGTGGAGGGGATCCCGTGGCACAGTCATCCCTTGGATCTGTGGGGACCAGTCCCAGGACACTTCACAGATAGCAAAATGCATGGATGCTCAAGTCCCTTATATAAAATAGTGTGGCACCTACACACAACCTCCCATGTCCTTTAAATCACCCCTAGATTAACTCTAGAACCTAAGACAATGTTAAAGCCTTATAAATTGTTATACTATACTGTTTAGGAAACATTGTCTGCACATGTTTAACACAGACACAATTTTTTCCCAACATTTTCCATCCAAAGTTGGCTAAATCTGCTAATATAGAGACTGTAGCAGCAGGAAAGGAACATGGAGCAGTAAGCTTGGCCCACTAGTAACAATTACAATGGCTGGCTTCCAAAAAAGGTCACTGAACCACTTTCACTCATAACAGAAAGCAGTCACTATAAAACCAAGTATTAATTTGACCAATATTGATCTCATGCTGGCCTAAGTGCCAGGCCAGGGAAATAGCTGTGAATTAAACAGAATTACTGGTTTCAAAAGATTAACACTGTACTGACAGGGATGAGGGGCTGGAAAATGTATACTGCAATTGGAGACAAGTGCAATGAAACAATAGTTACTAGAAACCAAAATGGTGTCATTATGTAGAAAAAGCAGTCCAGAAGGCTTCCCTAAAGCGACAGCAAATAGGTGGAACAGGCAGAAGAAATACACGCCTAGGATGGGCAAGACTGAAGGAGCTGTGGACTCAACCTGGAGTTCAGAGCAAGGCGCTTTGAGGAAAGAGGACTGTGGAGTAGTACACTTGCTGTGAGATGAAAGTCACTTGAGTTTCTGACATCTCTTTAAAAGGTTTGCTCTGGGAATGGGGGTATAGTTCAGTGTCAGAGCACTTGCCTAGCATGCACAAGGTCCTGGGCTCCATCCAAGGCACCCCCCCCCCCAAATCCACCCCCCATCCCCCCCCAGCTTGCTGCTGAGCCAATAACACGCTGAACATGGAGAACTAGGGCAGTTGGGAGGTAATACATCAGGATGGAATGTTGGCAATGTAGATGAGGGCTGACCTCTGGGGCTACCCAGGGCCAGACCATAGGACAGGCTAGTGGGTCCCATGTGTGGTATGGGAAGAAGAGACATGTGTGAACATGGCACCTTTATCTTGGGGCACTGAGATGGCACTTACAAGAGGAAGAGGAGAAGAGAGTTGGCTGAGACCACTGGAACCTAGAGCTGAAGTTTGGACTCACCTCTGCCTTGAAATGTTTTCAGCAAAAGTCACCTACATGATGCACCTGCCTGTGGGAGGCCATTCTACTTTGTAACAGGCTAAGCCTTTTGTTCTACATTGTTCTTGGAGTAGTTAACACATACAATGGAGGCAAAACACGAAGAGGGATTCAGAAGGGTCACTGGGTTCGAAAACAGGGAGTAACCATTTGGCCAAGGAAGCCTGGGCACTTTAACCTCTGTGCTTCAGTCTCTTTACCTGGAAAATAGGTGTAATAAAGGGTACTAAGGTCACGTGGAGCTCAGAGATCTATTGTGAACATGAAATGAGTTAACAGGTATAAAGATCACAAAAAAATAAGCTAGTTTTATTGATGGATTGACCGAGAATGGGTAGATACATAAGTACATACAAACAGTCCCTGACTAGTGATGGTGTTACTTTATAACGGACTCACCTGTACACACTCCATCTTAAGTTGAGGAGCATCTGGACCTGTGGTGGGCACATATAATTTCCAACTTATAATGGGTTTATCAGGACATAGTGCCATTGTAAATTGAGGAGTGCATACATAGTTATAATTTTTTCCCCTGGAATATAATTAATAAGGAACCCATCCTTCAGAATTTTCTGAGGAATAGGATACGTATCTCCTTTGGGTTCCCAAACTTCAAGCTGAAAAGGACTCTAGAAGACTACAGATGTGAAGAGGAAAGATATCAAGAGAGACAACCGAAAAAAGGATGGGAAAGGCCAGAAGAGAGAGGAGGCGAGCCAAGAGGTATCAGCAAAACCAAAGAAACCCAACCAAACTTAAGAGAAAGCCAAGTGATCCTCCCTAGGTAGGTGAAGGGGGAGGAGATGGATGAGGAATGAGCCAGCCCTCCAACACCCACAGATGACACCCAGGGGCAACAAGGGCCAGCATTCTCATCCTCAAAGCTCACTGGAACCACTGACCCTAGCCCACTGGGCTCCACTGAGCTCCAGGAGCCTGCAGGGAGGAGGAAGCTGGGCACCTGTCAGCCTTTCCAGGTAAGTTCCCAGACTGACCGAGACACGGCTCACTTTCTTCCCACCCTGACCTGTGGATGCTTCCTGGCCTCCTGAGGGTCACTGAGTTCAGGTACAACTCTCGTAATAGCCCTAGGTAAAAAAATGACAGAGATAAACAGGCCTGTTGGCATAGGAAGGTGAAACCAAAGATGTAGGCAGTGTGGAAAGACTGACATGGAAGGGCCTCATACTGTGTGGTCATCCCTCATCTAGGTTCTGCCTATATACCTTCCTCTCCCTTCCCTAGCACAGCAGAGATATAAATGAATCCCAAATGGCAATGCTGGAAATGCTATTCCCTGAATCAAGACCCATTTGTCCTCATCACTTTAGGCTGATTCCTGATTTGGGTTGCAAGTGCCCCTGGGCCTATCGAGGCCAGCACCTACCGTGAGTGGTTCCCCTTGGAGTGCCTGCAGGATGAAGTTGCTGACCACCCGTCCATCATTCATGTGCATGCGTGGCCCAAAGGTGTTGAAGATTCTTGCTACTCGCACTTCCACGCCTTCCTGGAACAAAGAGAAGAGGAAGTGAGGTGTTCTTCCCTTCCTAGTTTATATGTACATTTCCAGTGACCTACAGAGGTTCACCTATGACAAGGGTACTAGGTCTCTCCAACAAAAGGCGACGAGCACCAACATTCTGGTAGAGAATCTATGAGACAGCACAAGGGGAATGTGTTCAGATAAATTTTTCTCTGGTAAACATCTATTTTCCAAATGGGATCATATAATATATTGTGCAAGTTTATCATACATTAGAGATATAAAAGTCAATGAATATTTGACAGCTGGTAAGAAAAAAACAATAACCAGAAAGTACTTTATCTTGGAGAAAGTAGGAAATAAAAATTTTTAAAGAGTTGCCTTGCAACTCAATCTCTGTTCTAGAAAAAACTTAAAATACAACTTGGTGCTCCCTAAAGGCTCAACTGATGGCCTGGAAAGACACCTCCTAACATTGTTTAACATGCTTGTCTCTACTATTCATTTTCATCCCTGTTCATTTTCTTCTACACATTTTATAAAAAATTTTACCATTACACAAAACATGAATGACTTATACAATCCAGAAAAGCTTATTTTCAAATATGTCATCAGGAAAGTGTTATTTTTTCAACTACCAAAGCCTTTCCCAAATGAACCTGTTTAATTATAAAATTCTGCAGAGTGCTTTGCCATGGATGAAAAGGTTAAAGGTCCTTATAATTGTCTCAAGCTCTTCCAGCCTCACTGCTTCTTGCCAGGCCTCCCACTCACCTTTTCCCATTCACAGTAAAAGGGGGAAAGAAACAGTACTTACTTCCCAGGGGTACTATAAGACTGGAATAAGTCCCTGAACACCCTTAGCATAGGGCCAGAAGTAACGACGGTATATTTTAGTTGCTACTGCTGACACTACCAGTTGATCAAATCTTTTCATTTCTAATTCTACCACCTTAGATCTGACATGGGCTGGGAATCTAACAGACTCTTAGTTAATGGGGCTTATTTAACACAAGATGTATCCACATGCATAGCAGGTTAAACAGGATGAACTGCAGAGTCTCCAGGGCCCACATGAGATATCCAGTCACTGCCTCTGCCCACAGAAACTTCATGTATCTTCCCAGCATACTGGACAAACACAGGAGCTTTCCACATGTGCTTTGATATGAAGAGGGCTGGGATACACAGATTTATCACAAAGCTAACTTCCAGAAATCACTATAGTGCTAATTCTGCTCAGCAATCTATAATGCTGTTAGATGAAATACTCAGATTCTTAAGACCAAGATGTAAATTCTCATTCTTAGGAATAAATCAACATTTTTCTCTAGTGAACTAACTAGAGTATACAGTCACCCGCCTTATCCATTGTTTCACATTCTGTGGTTTCAGTTGCCTAAGTCCAGAAAAATAAAATTGAAAATTCCAGAAATAAACAATTCATGTTTTAAATTGTATGTTATTCTGAGTATCATGATGAAATTTCTCATGATCTCACTATGTCCTGTCCAGAGTGTGAATCATCTCCTTGTGCAGAGAGTATCCATGTTGTATATTCTATTTCCTCATTAGTCCCTTCGCTGTCCCTGTCATCAAATCAACTGTTGAGATTGAACCTAGCAAAGGGTTCAAGTAACCTTTATTTTACTTTAATAATATTCTTGAGGGGCTGGGGTTGTGGCTCAGTGGTAGAGTGCTCACCTAGTGTGTGTGAAGCACTGGTTTGATCCTCAGCACCACATAAAAATAAAATAAAGGTATTGCGTTCACCTACAACTAAAATTATAAACACACACACACACACACACACTCTCTCTCTCTCTCTCTCTCTCTCTCTCAAAGCCTGAGAGTAGTATGCTGGCAACTGCAATAAGCAAAAGAAGAGTTGTAAAGTGTGTCCTTTAAATAAAAAAATGAAAGTTCTACACCTGAAGAAAAAAAAATCACATGCTGAGGCTGCTAACATTTATAGTAAGAACGAATCTTAGCTACCTGTGAAATTGTGAAGAAAGAAAAGAGAAATTTATGTTAGCTTTGCTGTTGGACCTCAAACTGCAAAAGTTATAGCCACAGTGCATGGTAAGTCCTTAGTTAAGATGGTAAGACATTAAATCACAGGGTGCAGCATAATTCATGATTTCAGGTATCTAATGGGGGTCTTGGAACATTTCCCCCATGGATAATGGGTGTAATATATGCAAGGAGTACAAAAAGTAGAGCCAGAGATACTGTTTTCAAAAGAAAAGAACTAAAACTTGCATTTAACTGTTACGATGAGGAAAGAAGAGGGGGAAAAAAACATAAGTGGGTGAATATGGCTTTATTCTAGGAAAAAGACTGGAAAAACCTAAGTAAATTTATGATACTTAAACCAGTGTGCCTGTCCAAAGAACGCTTAATGTGCTCTGCCAAGTTTGTAGCAAATCAAATGCTTTTATCCTCTTGCTGTTCCCTTCCCTCAGGAACAACGTTCCAGAACATGGCCTCATTAAGAGCCGAGTTTGTAGACATTGCTTGGTCACATAAACAAGCTTGCTGCTCTCATTTCTCCATTTGGAATTGTAGATGTGAGGCAACACATGACAGCAAGTTAAATGGGTGAGCTGTAGATTTCCCAAGGGCCCCTGTGGGCCCCTGTAGTTGCTGGAGTCCCCTGGCTACAACCTCTGCCTGCAGCAGCCTCATCTATTTCCCAAGTTTTAGGAGTGAACATAGCAATTTCCATGAACTTGGGCTCTCAGGCATATTTACACCTTATCTTATTAGATTAGCTATATTTAAGTCTAAGCTCCTTAAGTAAAATAAAGATAAACCCAAGGCTGGCTCCAGTTAAGACTTGTTCTCTTTTTGGATATTGGTGTCTTCTAGATTGTGTGTACTGATCTGTCTCTTTCCAGACAGCATCAGCAAACCTTTGCCTTGACACAGAGGAAACCCCTGTTCAACATGCACAGTCCCCTTGACACCATCCCCCATCCTCACGATGGGATTTCACAAAACTGCCAATTTGTTCTTAGTCACAGCTGTGTGTCACTTTGTGCTCTGTGGTTCTACCCCTGTGGTGAACTGTGAATCATTTACATCTGACTCCAAGCATCAAGAAGATAAGAGCAACTCCTGTGAGTTTGAGTTAGGTCAATATAAAATGAACAGAAACTTAAAAGAAGGTGATGTATAGAAATCCACATGGGGAGAGTGTATCTGAATGCACGTGGCACATGTGAGCACATGGGGGTGTGACAGCAATACTGCACTCTCATCCTGGCACTCACTAGCTGTACATTTCTGGGGAAGTCATTTCATTTTCTAAGGCTGAAGAGCCTAATCTTTGAAATATATCCACTCTGCCCATGTCACAGGGATTAAAAGAAAAGGCGAAACTGCTTTGAAAACATGTCCTTGCTATTATCTATCTCTCCACCATGGTTTAAAACCCAGTACTAATGTGTCTTGGTATCTGCAGAGGATTGGTTCCAGGATCCCTTGGACACCAAAATCTGAGGATGCAGATGGTGCAGTATGAGCTAACAACCTAGGCACAGTCTCTTATATAATTTAACGCATCTCTAGATTACTAACAATAACTAGTACAATGTAAATGCAATATTAGTATCCCTTACCCTGTACTGTGTAGGGAATAATGACAAGAAAAGTCTGTACAGATACAATTTTTCCCCCCAAATATTTTCAATTCGTGATTAGTTGAATCTCTGGAGAATGAACCCACAGATGAGGAGGGATGACCATTTGCCCTTGAACCCCAAGGATAAGGGGTACTACATTAATAACCAGGTCAAACTTCTAACATCCACTATGCAGTAGGCAATCATTGCAAGGGCAGGCAAGAGCAAATTTCACCTGCCAATGTCTAGACAGGACAGCAGAATATGGAGGGCAGGCACCTAGTGGCAAGTTGCAGGGCCAGAAAACAAGGGTGATTTTGGGCAGGGAAGCCTAGAGTGTGAGGCTTACTGTGGGACACTGGACTTGATTTGGTTGATTTTTTTTCCCAATAAGCATAACGTACATACCAACTTTTTTATTTTTATTTTTTAAATAAAGTATCCGAGGTCAAAAAATAAAACAAAACACCCTGAAGGCCACTGAACTAGGTGATTTCTTTTTGCTGTGCTGGTCTATGATTTCATGAATGGTGGCCTGTTTTGCAGACCCAGTGCAGCTGGTGGGTACACAATGATCTCCAAGGCAGACTCACAAGGGGCAATGAGCTCAAATGTACACTAAACCCTGACCACAGCCTACAGGGTAAAGCCCCATATTTGTAAACCACTGGGATGTCAAGCATGCAGAAGGGGCAATTTAATTCCTGACAAGTTTGAATTATTCATGAAGGATGCTATGCCCTTTCACCCCAACTTCCACTTCATTCCATTCCAAAAGAAACTCAAAGAGACCTCTTTTTCTGTAAGGGATGTACAAAAGGTTTTCCTGGGAAATCAAACTTTATTTTGAACACATTAAAGGATATTTCATTCATTGAAAGAAACTCAGATGTGAATACTCTAGAAATGGGGAAAGTTTTTATAAAGAGATCATTCATACCTCTATTCACTTGTTTATATTTTCAGTCTTTATGTATTAGGTTTAGTTAGAGTAAGACACAGCTACATACCATAAAGCATCTTGAAAAAATGACAATTTACACCAAAGAGGGGATATGTACTTATATATAAAAAATTTAAGTTATTAAAATAATGAAATAAAAATGTGTGAAGGGTACACCATTCCACCTGGCTCTTCATTTCCGATCTTTTTATCATTTCTGATCTTTTTATCGCCACTTGTCTGTAGAGAGCATAAGTCCTCACAACTAAAATATTAAAAGTCTTTCCTAAATCTTTTTATCTCAAAAGGCTGCACATTTAGAACTATGAACTGACGACTGTGGCTTCCTCTACCTGCAGAGGAAGGAGAGGCAATTGCAAAGCAATGCCACATGGGCTGCTTGCTCTGGGCCTTAGTGCCCTTGAACCAGGAGTTGACTTCTTGCTCAGCAATTGCTTTCTGATATGCAGCAACCTGACGGGACAGCCAGACAGGGGAAGGGGCACCCCCTGCAGGGATTCTGCCAAGGACTTGAGTCCTACTTAGGGTCTAGAGAGCTGGAGACAAGTCTTGGGACCCCCTCCCATCTGTAAAATGGATTAACCACCCACCTCAAAAAAGGCTGTGGGAAATGAAGGAAGATGAAATAGACTCAGCACTAATAGAGGCCAAGTGCATGGCTGGTACTCTAGCCCTGGTTCCCTGATCCTTAGCCCCACCCATTGCAGGTATGAAGGGCATCACTGAATAATGTCACTTCCAGAAAGTGGCACATTCAGATGGATACAATATCATGGCACCTTGCAGAGCAGTGGGCTCAGTATGTAGGACCCACAGGAGTACATATGCTAAAATGAAGAAAATAAGAAGCAGCAGTCATAGCCCCAGAAAATATGTCACTTTGGAGTCAGGGCTTGAAGAAGGGCAGTAACTTGCCCCAGACCAGGCCACACCCAGTGGACCAACCCAGTAGGGGCAGGTGCTCCCACCCACCTTAGCTGGATGCTAACATGACATCCCAAGCTAAAGATGGGTCTTTGTGCCTTGAATGTTTTACAGTCTTTTCACTGTTTACATGATAGTTTTGGGTTCATTTATTTTCCCTTTTTAAATTTGTTTCTAGATGGGATTATGAGTAGTATTATGGTATTATGAGGAAGAAAACTTCCTTCTGGTTTATCCTTGATTTCTTATGTTTCTACACCTTGCAAAGCATCCTGCCATAACAGGAACAGAATCGTGTCTCACTGTTCTTCCTACTTGGCACTGATTCAGAAAGAGAGAGCAAAACATTCGTAACACAAAAAATGAGGACAGGAGATGACAGTATAGGCCAATAATCCCAATTACTCAGGAGGCTGAGGCAGGAGAATCTCAAATGCAAGGCTGGCCTCAGTAAGTCAGTGAAACCCTGTTTCAAAATATAAAACCAGGGCTGGAGACGTAGCTCAGCAATAGAGCATTCCTGGGTTCAATCCTCAGTACCAGCTCCTCTAACCGGAAAAAAAAAAGAAAAAAAAAAAAATGGGGGCAGGGGACTGGAGTTTACCACAGGCCCTTTTCACAGGCTTGTCAGAATTCAGGTGACATCACAGTGACTTCTACTCTTGGCCATGTTGTCCCTTCTCAAAGCTACAACCTCTACCTTTCTGCTTTGCAGCTACCACAACTGGTCAGGATTCTGGCATACCCAGGGCAAGGCACATGGTCATTCTGTGGCTTAATGGTCCCCCAGGGAACAGGTGAGGAGTTCTAGGGACAGGCACCTGCTCACAAGAAACTGTCACGAGGGGCAGGCTTTCCTCAGTATTATCTCTAGAATGACACAGACTGCAGCACTCCCCTGGGCAGATGTGCACCTTGGCCAGATATGCTAAGCACAGAGAGAAGCACTGACAAACTACAGGCTGCTTGTCAGCCAAGAGGACAACTTCCACCGTCTCCTTCTCAGAAGGTGCTTCGTTCCCTGGTAAGAATTGTACTGGGAGGCTGGCTGGGGGAATGACTCTTGCATGCATACCACGATTGTCTGTGGCGCCTCCTGTGGGTGAGGTATGTGCCTGGTAAGTGCACAGAGGAGGCACTGTGCCAAACGAGCAACAGAGGTTCTTTACAAGGACATCCCTGGCCATGTGGGGACACCTGACAGAGTTCTGGGCGGGATGCTCAGCCACAGAGGTGAGGGCCAGCTATCCACATGGGGAGTTTTAGCAGGTACGTCCCTCTACAGTTTTCAGGGCAATGCCACTCGTGCCACTAACTGGGACAGTGCAAGCACAGACTGAAATGCTAACAGTTCAGATCTGTCTAGAGGCCACCTTCCTGCATACATGACACACATGGATCCATGTTCAGTGGTGTGCAAGACGCAGAAGCAGCTAGCGTCCAGGTGCCAGGAATAGGGCCTCAGCATATAGACCATGCTCAACAAATGCTGCTCCACTGTTATTAAATTGGGAGGCTGAGGCAGGAGAATCACAAATGAGAGGCCAACCTGGGCAACTTTGAGAGATTTTGTTTCAAAACAATAAATAAAAAGGCCTAGGGATATAGCCAGTGGTAGAGTACCCTAGGTTCAATTCCTCCACCACAGCTGTAAGGCTGAAAGCAAAAGGAAAAAAGCCGAGAACATGTTATTCCTGAAATGTATTACTAGATTAAATGCATTTATGTGCCTTCATACCCTAGCCAGTTTTTATAGGGACACAGGTTGTTCTACATATTTAAAACACCTTAAATTTTGGGGTCTAGATGTTCTGGGCTCAGAAATGACAAAGGCACATTCTTTTAAAACTGGTAACATTTCTTAGAATAAATGGATAATACAAGGAAGGCAATGGCCCAAAGTGGGCTAGAAAGCATTATGTCTACTGCTGGCAGAGAAATAAAGCAGACAGGTCTAAACACTGATACCAGCACAGGTTCTCTTTAATGGTATTTTATTAAAGTATGAGGAGCAAGAGAGACCCTGACAAGCCCTTTCTGCCCCAAAAAGAGGCAGCATGTTTCTGCTTGGCTTCAGCTACGCCATCTGTGCAACACCATGTAATGAAAGGCCATGACAGTCCCCATGTGGCATATGTCCACACTGCCCAGCCCCCTAGGGCCTCAGATAGGCAATAAGGAAGATTCCCTGAACACTGAGCACCCATATGCCACTCTCCTCTCTCTCAATGCCCGGAGCTTGCCCGGAGGCTGGACCCTGGGCCTGAGAATACTGTTCCCACTGACACTGCATCTTTTAACAACCTGTCCTGGAACAACATTCCATGCCTGCAGGTATTTCCCTGCATGTTCCACTTAATAAAGGACATTATGCCAAGGATCTGAGAGAGCTGACCCAAGAATATGGTCATACTCCCTTTGAAAATGCATGGAAGAGCCTGGGCTGTCACCTGAGCCTGTGGGGACCCCTTTGCACAGCTCACCAGCAGGCACAGCAGGTACAATGAACCCCAAGTCAGAGGTTAAGAACTGAGTAAACAATGGGTCATGTCTCCAAGTTACACAGCAGCAGAGCCTGTGTGGGAACCTCAGCCTCTCAGTCTGTGGACAACTTCTGCTACGTCATGTGGACAATCTGAGATACCCATGGCAGAAGCACTGAGAGCAACAATAAACAACGAGAAAGCAGGAAATGATAGCAAATATGAAGAACAATTCTTAGAGAAGTACAGGTTAAAGCAATAGTGAATCAATTTTTTTACTATTAAGAAAACCAAAAGAAAAATTAAAAAATTAAAAAAAAAAAAAAAAAAAAGAAAGGTAATCCATCTATTTGGAGGCTTCAGGAAAAAAGAGGCACTCATGAGCTACTGGTAGGCAACTGGCAATAGAGAAGCATACTGTTCCATGATATTCCAAACCCTAAGAATTCATCTCTGGGAAATTATTTTTAAAATAAGGAAACATGAAAAAGGCTGTGCACAACACCGCTCATTAGTAACAACGGGCAACCGGACTTCCCTACACTTGCCCCCAGGCATATTTAATGGCAGCATTTAATCCTTTTATGACACTTTACCTCTGATACGCTGATGCTCTGTGTGCCTAGAACGTAAGCCCTGGAACCTGGTTAAGTACCTGCTTCATGTAGGCGTAGCACATGGTCTCTGCGACACGTTTGCCTTCGTCGTAGCAGGCCCGGGGTCCTATCGGATTCACGTGGCCCCAGTAATCCTCACTTTGAGGGTGGACTTCAGGATCTATGGGTCAGGGAAAAATGAGACTGTTTTCATCTTTCCTTTTTAACCAGTTCATCTGCACTAGGAATAGAGCATCTTTGGGGTACAAACATCTTCAAATGGAGAGAAACATCAAAGAGGGAAGGAAACAGTGTTCTATATACCATTCTCCTACACTGGAACTGGCATTCTTACTACTGATTAAGTAATGATAGCACTTAATTTTTTTTTTTGATATGAGGAATTTAACCCAGGGGTGATTAACCACTGAGCTATGTCCCCTACTCCCTTCTTTTTTGAGATGGGATCTCACTAAGTTGCTCAGGGCCTTGCTAAGTTGCTGAGGCTGGCTTTGAACTTGTGATCCTCCTGCCCCAGAATCTCAAGACACTGGAATTATAGGCGTGTACCACTGTGCCTGGCTAATGATAGCATTTTATTTATTTAATTATTTATTCTAAAAAATATTTTATTTTTTAGTTGTAGCTGGAGACAATACCTTTATTTTATTTATTTATTTTTATGTGGTGCTGAGGACTGAACCCAAGGCCTCACACATGCTAGGCGAGCGCTCTAACCACTGAGCCATAACCCCAGCCCTAATGAAGCATTTTAGAGGAAAAAAATAAAATATCAAAGTCTCTCAAATCTCCCTTCTCTTCCATAAATTGTCCTTAACTTTTAGATCGTTACACAAGCTATCATGTGTATGTGTGTTAATGACAATATACTAATATATAATAGAAAGGAAATCAGTAGAGTGGAGTATCAGGAAGGGTGGGAAAGGAAGGAGGGGAAGGAAAGGAAAGGAAAGGTACCGGGGAAGGAGATTGATCAAATTATGTGCATGTATAAATATGGCCTAACGAATCACACTATCATGTATAATTATAATGTACCAATAAAGAGCAAACAAACAGCATCTCTGGAACATACAACTTTCACATTTGCTGTCACCAGAACAAATCTAAGACCCGTGATGAGACAAGCTGGATGCCCTCTGTGGGGTAAACACAGGGATACAGTGTCTACAAGCAAATGGAATTCCCAATTCCTGTTTCTCTAGTGTATAAATCAACCACACCTTAAGATCTACCAGAGAAATAGACAAAGAAACCAAGTAACAAATTCCTTTTTAAGTACAAGTATATTTCTGGAACATGAATTACGACCTGGTTTATCCAGTACATCAAGAACTTTATACTCTGAGTACAATCAGGGTAGAAAACCTATAAATCTTTGTTAAGAAATCTAGACAGAAAGATACAGGGACTCTGTGTTACTCATTTACATCTTGTTAATCTTGCCCCTGCAGTTTGACTTCAGGCTCTTCAGGATGAGGGCCTTGAGTGAGTGCTGGGAGGGGTCCATGCACACATCTGGCAAAAACCTCTGATTCCTTACCACCCCTGCAGCCCCCACGCAGCCGCTGTGCAGCACAGAGTAAGGTCTCTCTGTCTGGGGCTGTGGCTTACTGTTCCCTTAAGAAAAGGTGAGGCTTTCACTGTACATTGGTAGAAAAGATTGATGCAAAGACTCCCAGAGAGGAAAACCAAAGACTTACATTCACAGACGACTGATACTAGAACCTTTTCCATGGATTTTTGACAAGGGCTGGGCAAGCCAGACAACAAATCAAATGGTCATAAATTTCTGACAAAGGAGAAGAAAGAGAGGGCTGGGCATACCCATTCAACCATGCACTGGCACGGTCTGGGCTGAAATGCCCAAGGCACCAAGATTCTGAAAAAGTCCCTTCACAACTTCACTTTGGAGAAAAACTGGGACAAACCACTTTGTTATTAGAAAAGTAAAGGCCTAGTCAGAAATGATTTCTAATTGCTTCCCACTTTATTGATATTTTGCAAGGTTAATGGACTAAGCAAATGCTCCACAAAACTTAAGTGGTTCATTTATCAAATGTCAGAGTAGAGCAACTGGCAAACTAATTGCAAGGATTACGCCCTAAAGTTAATTTAGGAACTAAAGGACACCAGCTCTTATCAAAAATGCAGATAATAAATGGGGCGGGTGAGGATTAAGGAAAAACACGTCACTCCACTTTTTGGACAGAAACATTGATGAGGCAGGACTTCAAAGATGATGATGTGCTACATTTTCATGGGGTTACAAAGATTATAACTGCATTAATTAGAATTTCTGTGCATTTTTTTTTTTCCATTTGCTTCCCTTACATTAAAAAAATTGTCTTCCAATTTACCCTTTGGCTTCTTCATTTCTCTCATCCAGAACAATAATACAAAATGAGGGGGGGAGCCAGGGTCTGGCTCCCACTGCACTGACTAAACAGTTCTCCCAAACCTTGCACCTAGGTAGTTTGGGGCTGAACAGAAGCCAAGGTGGATTGAAAACAAAATCCTCCTCCTACCACCAACATGAATTCCCAGGCATAGGTGGGCCTGGGAGGGATGATGAAGGCTATAGCTGTTAAATCAGGCTCTGGAGCTTTCTGGCACTATCCACTTATGGTTCTTCCAGAGACTGTTCTATATCAGGTAAGGTAGGCCGACCTGTGGGCTGCTGGTGGGTCAGATATGAAGCACACATCGCTCACAGTGAAGAACAACATGTGCCAGCTGAACAGGCCAAACAATCCCCACGGAATGCAATTTTGTTATACTTTAAGAGCAGAATGGAAAAAAACAACAACACTGGTGTGCAATCAAAAACAGTGGACTCTTACTGGCCAGGAGACACTATCCAGTCCTCCAAGAATATACAGTAAGAGAGTTAATCTCACTCAGAGGACAAGCCTGGGGACTCCAGAGGCTGGGATGGAAAGCCTCGGGGCCATCACACACAGGAAGAGCTTGAGCAGGAAGGCCTTCTCAGAACGACATCCTGGGCTTGATTCCTTCTTCACCCAGGACAGGAGGCAAACAGCGCAAAGGTTTAGTGCAAGCAACTGTGGCGAGGGCTCCACCCACTCACCTCCATACACCTCCGAGGTCGAGGCCAGGAGCAGACGGGCGCCCACGCGTTTTGCCAATCCTGCAAAAAGCAGAGTCATGATCAGAGAAACTATCTACTTTCATGGATAGGCACACTTTATGTGGCTGATTTAAGCATACTGTAATATAAAAGCTATCTGATGATCCAACAAATTATCCACTCTGATGGCATATGCCTTGGACCAAACAAAAGCAGTAAGAAAAATCACAGATAGATTCTTAGAAAAACAGTATTAGTTGGATTCTTAGAGTTGTAAGGAAGACCAGATGCAGACTCTGTTGGTTTGCTAAGGTGTGATTTCAAGAATTATTTTGCTTAGAATATTGCCCCATATTTTCTGACCTCACCCTGGTAGGCAGAAGGCAAGGCTCTTTTCACATTAGTCTCCAAAATGGACTCTGTTGCCCAGGAAGCACTGCCAGGAGGGAGCCACGAGGCAAGGTGTGCAGGCAGGACCCAGGGGCAGTGTGGGGAGGCTGAAGGCTAAAGTGAGAGGGAGCCAGGGGTCTGAGTATCTGAGGATCTAGAGGAAAGCAGAGAGCCATGAATATATAAGAATAAGAGCATATAGTTGCTAAAAAGGCGAGAATTTGGAGATGGATTCTGCCAACTCCACAATGTGCAGGAGGAAGGAAAAATGTTAAAAGGGAGGTTTGCACCAGATTGTATCCATAGGCTAACAACTCCATGGGCCCACGGAACCTGTAAGGTGGATCGCCACAGAGTATTATGGTAGAGACAGAAGTAGTAGCTTCAATAAGGATCCTGAGGTCTTTTTATTTTTAAAGTTAACTTTTTGAGATATTTGTACATTCAAATTCAGCTGTATGAAATAACACAGAAAGATCCCACATACTTCTTCACAGTTTTCTTCAATGTAAAAACTTGCAACACTGAAGTATCAGATTTCACAATGTCATAGTGACATTGATGCAATGACCATCCCCACTGCTAGAGTCCTCCACTGATGTAACTGACTCAGAACATTCCATCTCTACAAGGGCCCCCACATTACCTTACTTCCCCTCTCCTTCCCACGCCTGTAACCCAAAAATTCATTCTCTATTCCTGTAACTTTGTCATGTCAAATACGACACATAAATGGAATCATACAGTATTACCTTTTAGAACTAAATTTCTTCACTGATCACATTTCCCTGGAAGTCTACCAAGTTACTCTATGTGTCAACAGTTCCTACCTATTTTGTCCTGAGGACTCTGCTAGAAAAATGGGTATATAATCTAATCATTTATCCATTACTGAACATTTTAGTTGTATTCAGTTTTTCACCACATGACTAAAGCTGCTATGAACATTTATTACAGGTTTTTCATGTGGCATAAGTTTTTATTTCTCAGAGATAAATGCTCAAGATGACAATTACTGGGTATTATGGTAGCTGCATACTAACTTACTTATCATATTTATTTATTTTTTTAAACCAGGGGTGCTCTATCACTGAGCTACAGGGTCTCATAATAAAAAATGGAGTGATTCTCTTGCCTTTGCTTCCAGAGTAGCTGAACTTACACATGTGTGCCACTATGCCTTCCTGCTCTATTCAGTTTATATATATAATTTGTCAATGGACCTTTATTTTATTTATTGATACTGAGAATCAAACCCCGTGCCTCACACATTCTAGGCAAGTGCTCTGCCACTGAGCCACAATCTCAGCCCATCTATTCATTTAAAAAAAAAAAAAAAAAACCATCAAACTGTTCTCTAGAGTAACTGTACCATTTCATATTTCCACCATGGGGGAATAAACTAGCTTTTAGTTTTCTCTAAACTTTGGTAAAATATATACATCACATATGCAATGTGTTGATGTAAGAGAAACTGAGCTTAAAGATTCTGAAACAGAGGCAACCGTCCGGGGTAAAGTCAGAGGAGCTAACCCAGCTGCAGCAGAGCTAAGGTGTTTATGCTGAGACTGGACAAAGAACAAAGAGGTTCCATCAGATGAAGTCAACACAGGACCTGAGAGGTGGTGAAGCAGTGGAGGGAAGGGCCCTCCCCTGAAGTGTAGGCAAAGTGCAGTGCATCTTGTCTCAGGTGCAAAATGGTTAATAACAGCTCCTCTCGGTTCAGACTGCAAAGTTCCATGTGGAGCTCTCCCCATTCTAGTGATGGTCTCCTTTGACTTTTGTCCCCATGTCATTCCTGGAAGATCCCCCATCCTTCCTGCAAGACTTCCACATCCACTCTTACTCCTGACTCAAGCCCTAGCTCAGGAGTCCTTTTGCCTTGAACTCTAACAGCATCTTGTTGGGGCCTTTCTCCTGGAACATTCCCCTTCCTCATCTGTATCACCAATGCCTGTGCCTGCAGAGCACCCTCTCATGGGATGCCAAGGTCCTTGGCAGAAGAGCCTGGGTAAATGTATCCAAATCCCCTCACAGTGCAAGGTACAGTGCCCTAGGCATAGTAGCTGAATTCCCTAAATAGAAGATCAGATATCATATGCACAGTGGGTTTTTCCTCCATGGTGTCTGGTTATGGTATGATGGAGGGGGATGGGGGGCCAAAAGAGTGACTGGGAGATTGTGGTGGCAAGACCTGGGTGCAGCACACCATGTTTCTAAGTAGGAAGATAGACACCCTTTCCTGCCTGGTGATCAGGGCAGGGGACAATAACAGAGGGCAAATGTTCTTTCTAGGTTAGAAGAATAGATCATCTTACTTCACTCAGAACTTGACCCCTATGAAGGTTAATTTCATGTATCAACTAGATAGGTTAAAGAATATACCCCAACAAATATCTAGTTGAACATTTTTTGGGGGGTGTGTGCCTGTGAAGGTATTTCTGGAAGAAATCAGCATTTAACCTATAGATTAAGTAAAGGAGATGGGCATCATCTAATCCCTTTAGGGTCTAATAGAATAAAAAAGTAGAACACTGATCTGTCCTGAGCTCTCCAGTTCTCAGGCCTCTGAACTACACTATTCACTTCCCTGGGTCTCTGGCTTGCAGAGGGAAGGTGGGAATTCTCAGCTTCTATAATCACAGGAGCCAATCCATCATAAGTCCTGTTCTTCCTTTTTTATTTTATTTTTTAAATTGCTGTGCTAGGGATTGAACCCAGGGCTCTGTGCATGTTGGGCAAGTGCTTATCACTGAGCTGTGTCCTCAGACCCGAATAACCCCCTTTCTACATATCTAATTATATTCCTACTCTGTTCCTCTTGAGTACCCTAACTAACACAATCCTCCAAAATGTTCAGCCTTAGAGACTTAAAATCCAGTCTCTGGCTGCCCTTTTAGACCATTGTTTCCATGCTCCACTCAAATTAATATTTAGGACTGTCTTTCCTAAATCTATTTTTAGAACCTGCTTTAAATGTTCTTATAATTAAATCCGTTTTTCACTTGACATTTTAAAAAGTGGTTCCTTTCTTCCACTTTGCAAATAATCAAAACACCTACTTAAAAAAAAGTACCAAACTTAAGTATGCCTCTAATTTTAAATGTTAACAAGTACATATTACCCACAGCCATAATCTAAGGCACGCTGTTTGTGAATACACGTGACCATTTTTAATGTCACCAACCCTTTCATCTTCCACTTCCAATGTGAACCCTAAGGTCAGCCTAGAGCAGGAGTTCAGTTTCCACAACACCCACATAGGGCAGCCTCTTGGCCCCAATCTACCAGGAGTGCTGCTGAACCACCTCTTTGGGCAAGGCCACTCCACACAATCTTGGGACCAGAGCCTTCCAGGACAGGATGTGCCATTAATCCTAGGCACTGGCCAAATGAAAGAGGAACGCTGGTCACCTGTGGTCACTCCCAGGGCATTTAGCCTGAGGCATCGAATACCAGTGATTACAGCACAAAAAAGTTATGCTGAAATTTGTCCCCCATGACAAATTCTGATGACATACATGCTACATACTGTGAAACTGTCAAGTAACAGGGGCAAGGTGATGAAGAAGGTATATAAATACCAAGGTCAAACTAATTAACTTCCAATGATGAGGATCCCCATAGCCTGCTTTGTTTTTCATGGTTTTAGCTACCTGTGGTCAGCCTCAATCTGAAAATATTAAATAGGAAATTTCAGAAATAAGCAATTCATTAGTTTTCAACTATGCACTGCTCTAAATAGAGAACGAACTCTTGTGCTGTGCCACTCTATTCTGCTCAGTATGTGAAACATCTTATTTTCTGGTGTATCCACACTGTATTTGCCACCCACCTGCCAGCCATTCGGTGGCCATCTCAATGACCAACTGTTCTGATAAGGCAGTGTTTATGTTTAAGAAACTCTTACCTTATTTAATAATGGTCCCAGGGCCTAAGAGTAGAGATGAATGAAATTTAGATATGCCAAAGAGAAGCAATAAAGCATTTCCTTTAAGAGAAAGGTGACAGTCCTTGAATAAGAAAAAACTAATCATAAGCTAAAATTGCAAAAAAGGAAAAAAAAAATCTTTGAGCTATCTTTGTAGTTGCATCTCTAACTGCAAAATTACAGCCATAAGTGTTCTGTTAAGAGAAAAGGTGTTTCAGGAATCCTCTGGTGGTCTTGGAATGTACCCACTGCAGACAAGGAAGGACAACTGTATCTATGCTTGTAATTGCCCAAAATATTCCCAGCAAAGGCAGCAAAATGAGAAAATGACCACTTACCCAACATGTTCAATGTCCCAATTGTATTGGTCTTCAGTGTCTTGATAGGGTTATACATATAATTTGGAGGGGAGGCTGGGGACGCCAGATGGTATATTTGGTCAACTGAAGGAGAAAAAGGGAAGCATGTTATTTCCAAGTAAAACACTTTAGAAAGTTTCAAACTTCTATTGATTACACTGTGAAATAAAAGTGTTAGTGTATCTTTCACTGAAATTCTAGTTGTTAGCACATTATTCTTTGTAGAAACTAATTTACATTTGTAATTAGAAGAACTTTGAACAAAAATAGAAAGTCTAGTTATCTGGAAAAAACCTCTGTGCAAGGCCAGTAAGTGGAGTCTGTTCTCTGACTGAAGTCTGATGACGGAGTTGAAAATTTTCTGAGATTTGTGATCCAGATATAGCAATCATATCAGAAGGAAGACTGATTTTTAGACACAGAATTAAGCATGTATATCTAAAATGAATGTTTTTAGCTTGTGGAGCAAATTTAATACAAAACTAGGGAAGAAAATTGCATCCTATACATGTAAAACTAGACCCTGAGATGACAGGTGAAGAGGCGGTTCTTAAGCTCTGTAAGGAAACACCCATCGCTCACAGCGAAGTTGAGAATGGGATCAGAAAGCCAGCTGCAGCAACCAATCATTCTTTGCACATGGGTTCATCCTGGAGAAGAGGCTGGTAGGGAATGCCTCTACCTTGACACACCAGCTCCTCCCCATGGTCTCCGGCCCACCTCCTGACCAGGGGACCACTGTTCACTCCCATACCTGACCCTGGCTGAGTGCTATGGTTTGATGGTGTGCTGGAGGCTTGGTTCCCAGTATGGCAGTGTCGAGAAGGGGTGGATCCCTTAAGAGGTGGGGCCTCATAGGGGGTTCCACAGATTGTTCGCAGAAGAGATTAACGTGAACTAATGCTCTCTCTCGAGTTCCAGCTCTTGTGGGCTATATTAATACTCAAGAGAGAGAACTGTTATAAAAGAGTGGGCCTGGCCACTCCCTACTCTCTTGCTTCCTGTCTGGCGTGGGATTTCTTCCTCCTCTTCTCTCTCATCCTTGTATGTGCTACTGTTAATGCCATACTTTTGGACCTTCAGAACTGTTAGCTAAATAAACCTCTTTTTATTATGCATTATCCTGCCTAAGGTATTGTTACAGTAACACAAAACACACTCGCAGAGCTACCAATGGGGCCATGCTTTGATACACTCTGATATAGGAATTGCAAGTGGGTAGACTCTGGAACTTTTTGTGTGTTTGTATTTGTGTGTGTGTGTGTGTGTGTATTCACACACATGTATTTAAAGCAAAGTTCAAAAAATATCAACCTAATTTAAAAACAGAACTAACGCTTGATAAAACAATAATCTTTTTTTCAAGAGAACTAAGAAAACACAAAACCTTTAAAAAATGGTTGAGCGTCGGCCAATATGCAAATTCTTGAAAGGATGTGTCCAAATGACAGGAAATCTTATCATTCTCACTCCCATAAATCATTCTAACCTGATAAATTGCTAAAAATAAAAAGCAAGCAAAAAAAAAAAAAAAAAAAAGATCTATTACATGAACTGGAAATAAACAAGTATTTTAGAATCGAGTCTCATAAAATTCCTTAATCCTGGGGCTCTCGTCTTTTCCAGCTTACAGAAAGGACCAGCATGTCCTGTGTGGTGCAGTTTGGATCTGGAATGTCCCCCAAAGGTCCTGTGGCAAAGGCTTGATCCTCGGCTTAGCATTAGTGGAAGGAAATGCAACCGTAAGAGGTGGGAACTTGTGGGAGGTTTTAAGGTCACTGGAGGTGTGCCCTTGAAGGGGATAATGGGACTCTAGTCCCTCCCCTCCCGCCTTTCGCCTTCCCTGTATGGGGTGAGAAGTTTTGTTCCACCAGGCACACTTACCACGTGCTGCCTCACCACAAACCCCAAAGCCATAAGGCAAATTGAATATGGACAGAAACCTTTAAAATTATAAACCACAATAATCTTTCTTCTTTATAAGTTGATTATCTCAGGTATTTGTCACAGTAACAGGAAGGTGACTAACATACTGCATAGTTCCTGTGTGTGTGCTGAAAGATCCTGGGGCTATAGGTGTAAGTGGCAGGTGCTTAACCCCAGATCTGGGCACTGAGGCTTTCCCTAAAACATGTCCTCAATACTCACTGTCACTCTAGGGCAGGACCAGGTCATCAAAAACTGAATGTGTCAAACAGATGTTCAGAGCCAGAGCTGAGAGTGACCCAGAGCACGTGGAGGTGGGCCAAGAACTGGATCTTGCTACCCACCTCACAAGCCACTGGCATTTCTGCTCTCACACAGGGGCCACCCCATGTTCCTCAAAGATAGTGTAAGCCAGTGTGCATGGCTTGTGATCTTACAGAGCAAGCTGTTCAGCAGCATCTTTACTCCTGTGGAGACAACATGTATAGGGAAAGACAGAAAACTGCACTAAAAATGGAAGAGGGGAAAGAAAGCCTTGACAGGGCTGGGGATATGACAGTTCATCAGCAAAGCACTTGACTACCACGTGCAAGGCTCTGGGTTTGATCCCAACACCACCACACAACACACACTCACAAAATTAAAAAAATACATTTCACCTTAAAAAACAGAATGCCTTAAGAGCCCAGGATACGTCCTTGACATCAAACAGAAACCACCAACCTGTACTTTCTCTCTCCCTCATGGCTCCAGGCCAGGCTTTCTTCTTCAAGGCTGACTCAGACATCAGTTTCTGGGAAGCCTCCCGCAGCCCCGTTAGAAAGCACCCTCTTGCTGCTGGGGCGGGGTGGGGGGAGCTATAAGGCTGGCTCACAACGGCTGCAGGCTACTTCAAGTGACTACACTTGTCTTCAGCAGTCTCAGTGAGCACCAAAATGCCTTTTCCCCTTCCTATCTCCACCCGGCTTTGGTCTCAGGGAAGGCAGGCCTCCTTGGTGGCCTACTGGTATGTGCAGACACAGAGTTCTGAGCCCACTGCAGGGCTTAAGAACATGAACTGTATGTAGATGGACCTGGAAACCTTCAGTGGAAGACAAATAGCCCTTTGGGCCCAGGTGCCATGGGAACAGTGCTCTGAGTTAGCTGAGTGAAGCCATAATTTGGAATTTTTTCATTCAAAAAGGGTATTCCATCCGTTCTCCCCCCACCCCATCATTTGACAGTTTTGCCAATCTACTATTCCTGAAAAGTTAAGGATGCCCCATAAAACTGTGTCATGATCTTAGTTAAGTAGAACACTAGTGCAGCATCCCACTTAGAAAACTAAGGGCCCTGTGAAAAGCAAAGTCCTCTACAGCTCCTCTCCCCCGTGAGGAAGTATTTGGCCTGTAACACTGATGACAGTAACTCCAGTTCCTGTCCTAAAAAGGACACTGCACCAGTCTGTTGATTTAATTAATCTGGTAAGGAATCATGACGGGGAGAGAAGAGGGAAACTTCAGAGCAGAGATAAACACACAGGGATGAGAAGCCACATAAATACTAAGGATATTAATAACAACCAGCTCTGGAATGCAAAGGGAAAGAGTCCCCCAAACATGTGAACCGTGTAGCTCAAAGCATATAAAAAATGAGTGTGGCATTCAAAAGCCCCTTCTGGGGGCTGGGGGCTGGGGGCCGGGGGCGTGCGCCTGTAATTTCAATAGCTCGGGAGGTGGAGGCATGAGGATCTCGAGTTCAAAGCCAGCTTCAGCAATTTAGCAGGGCGCTAAGCAACTCAGTGAGACCCTGTGTCTAATAAAATAGTGCTAGGGATGTGGCTCAGTGGTGGAGCGCCCCTGAGTTCAATCCCCAGTACCACAAAACAAAAACAAAACCAAAAACAAAAAACACCCCTGCTGGGAGTCGAAAGGCACTAAAGTGGGGAAAGAAAGGGATGTCCACCTATTTGTTGGACATGTGGTGACTGCCATGTGACCCTGCCATGACCCTTCTCATTACCAGGTCACACGTGCCATGATTCCAGCTAGGAAAAAAGGTCCTCAAGAAATAAATAGCTCTGATTAATCATCAATAGCAGTCCTGCCAGAAGGGAAGGGGCAGGTGAGAGGAGAGCCACGGCCGGCTCGGCCCTCCCCTGAATCTTGATGATGGCAAAACCCTGTCTTTTGCCACAAATGAACTTTCTATATTCTTCAAATGGACTTTTCTAATGGTCATACCGGGAAAGAAAAGAACACAGTAGAAACAGAACAACTCTTGGGAGAACCCAAAACCACTTTTCAGAGAAATCAAGCATTAACTTCTACCAAAGAGGAAGTCCACATAAAAACAGAGTGCATGCATACACGCCTCTGTTGATCACTTCTGCAGGACTTCCATGGTACCTGGTGTCAACTTCTCCCACCATGCTCAACAGCACTGTGGAGTGCCAGTAAGGAATTTGTACCTCGAAACTGAAGACTATGGACAACGAAACAGCTAAAAAGGGTCAGCTCTTTCTGTGAATGCCTGTGACTATTCAGCATATAATGAAATCCCATCACAAAGATACACTTGCTACAGGATTTTCTTTCTACACTTCAAGTCAGAGGCCTGGCAGAAATACAGTCAGGTCTCCATATCCACGGCACTACACCCACAGATTCCATCAATCATGGGTCAAAAATATCCCCAAAAGTCTGTGTCTGCACTGAACATGTGTGGACTTTTTGTCTCATCACTGTTCACTAAGCAACACAGTATTAATAAGTGTTTACATAACATTTACTTTCTGTTAGGTATTCCAGGTCATTTAGAAAGAAATTTAAGCACATAGAAGGATATGCGTATATTCTGTGCAAAAACCACACCACTGTATATAAAAGACCTGAGCACCTGTGGATTTTGGTATCCTCAGGGGTCCTGGAACCAGTCCCCATTGGGTATGGAGGGATGACTGTACTGCTCAAGGAGAGGTCATTCTGCAACATGGAATCCCATAGTATGGCCCTAACCCTTGTCCCCAGCATTTATAAGGGAAAAAAGGATTTCAGAGGATGCAGAACTTCTAAAATTTCTTTCAGCATAAAGAAGAGTGGGATTTTGCCTTGATTCTTGTCAAACAGTATTTACATAGTGAAAAGGCTGCACATGCTAGACATCTGGCTCAGCCCCAGTCCTGGGGTTGCCCATCAGTGCTACTGGCAAGATATGGAGGGTTCGCTTGCCTCAAGAAGCCACCACAGTAAGGGAGACTTCCAGTATCCTGAGCTGCTCTGGAGGAAGCCCCAGTGTTCCAGCACATAACTATGGACTCAATCCCCTTGGCAAACCCTATTTCCCTCCACATACCTTTCCTCAGTGGACACCAGGGTTGATAGCCCAATTTCTGCTATTTTCCCTCTGATTATACCTCTCCTTATGGCCTTTCACAGGATTTCAGAATCTGGGTAAAAGATGGGTAACAGAACTCTGCGCCTTGCTTTCCTCACCAGCACAGTGAGTACAACTACTGCCTACTTCATGTAGTACTGAGGGCACTGAATCTACTAAGCGGACTATGATCAGAACGCTGCTTCAAATACAGGATGTGTGCAGTGAGTGTTACCTGAGGTCAGATTCTTTTATATTCCTGAACTTTCTTACTGCAATTTCCAGGTATCAGTCTCCCCAGGACATGATGGGCATTATTGCTTTTTCAGTTCTCTACAGGAATGCTGGTCAAGATTCCTATTCATGCAGTTAGTTGAAAAGCAAATCAGAACAGCTTTTCAGGAAAACACAGGCTCCATGTATCTAGTGGAAGCCTGAACAAGGCTCTGACTAGGTATATTTAGATAATGATGAAAGGGACATACAAGTGTATACTGGTGGCTCTCTGAAGAATGGTTTATGATGGCCCCAAGTTGCAAAGAACCTAAAGACTCAATAACAAGAAATAATAAAATTGTTGTATATTTACACAATGGAGGCTTTTCAATAAACAACATTGAGGGGAAAAAAATGTATCTTTGTAAAGAGATCCGGAATAGCCACACAACAGAATGCTAAGCAGCTGACTATGAAAAGATCACCAGGATACAGTATGAGAAGAAAACAAGGTGCAGGGCAATATGTAACAGGCTGCTGTTTCTTTAAGGGAGATTATGAATACCTATTTATATTAGCTAGGTCACACATACACACTTAAGATTCTTTCCCATCTCAATCTTTATCAAATGCTAAATGAAAAACCTAATTCTCTTATTTAGGTCAAAGTACTTTTTAATCTCTATTGAGACTTCTCCTTTGACCCAAGTGTCACATACAAGTAAGTCGTTCAAGTATTTTGTGGTTTTCCAGCTGTCTTTCTGCTATTGATTTCTAGTTTTATTTTACTGTTGCTTGACAGTATACTCTATCTGGCTTCTATTCTTTCAGGTTTGTTGAGGTGTGTTTTGTGACCCAGAAAGTGGTCAGTTTTGTAGAGTGTTCCTTGTGAGCTTGAGAAGCTGTGCTCAGCTGCTGCTGAATGAAGCAGGCATTGTGGGGAGAGAAGAAGCGATGGTGTGGGGGCTACTGCAGGATAGGGAGGGAATCATCAAGCATGTGGAAGAACCCTGTGCCAAGGCTGGGAACCTTGGAAGGAGGGTGAAAAACAGGCTTTAACTATGAGGGGGAAATGTCTTGTGCCTCAAGATACATGTCAACTGACGGATTTAATATTCTGAGCACAAGACAAAACATTCATCATTCATCATGATTCCACCAGTGCAGGAGCATGCATGTGGGTATGATGTGTTCTATGCTCAATTTATGGGCAGCAGTGGTGGAAATGGCCTAGAGTGGCTTTGGGGTCAAATCTTACAGTTAAAGCCCATACTTACTAACAAAATTTTTACCATTTCTCAGTAGTACTAAAATTATGTAATCAACTGCTTCATACTATTATAAATGTTATTGCCAAGTGAGGAACATAAAGAGTAATAATAAGAAAAATAGTCATCCTTTGGGGAGCAGTAGCTGTGGGCCAGGTGCAGTGCTGAGACCCTGGGGCTGTGTTTTACTACCATCTCAACAAATTTAGAGGCTTAAAAACTACCCAGCTATGAGGTCAGAGGTCAGCACAGTGTGCCTCAGTCAGTTCCCAGCTCTGCTCTCCTGGGGCTGTCTTCTTTTCTTCAAAGGGTGATTCAGGATACGCCTCGAGGCTGTGGATGGAGGTCCCTCATGCCGGCCAAGAGTTGCTCTCAGTGCTGTGCCTCTCCCACACAAATCTCATGGTTTCCTTTCTGCTGGGACTCCCCAGGGCCTCTCTTCCACAGAATATATCTGCCTCTTCTCCTTCTTCTGATGCTTTTTAAGTGTTTATACTGATTATAAGGGGCCTTCCCAGATAATCCAACATAGTCTCCAGTTTATAACAAATGGTTCTTAAATGTTAGTCAGAGTCACTTCACAGCAGTCTCTAGCTGGATCTCTGAGTGATTCCTGGAAGAAGACACCTTTAGAACTGTGCCTGGCAGAGCCCTGTCACATGTAACACCCAGCTGACCCTTAGCACTTCACGAGTTATCCCAAATCTGGTTCACTCTACAAAAACCAAAGCCCAGTCCAAAAGTCAGACCAAAGCAGATTCAATAATTAAATGTCTAAAACAAGGTAAAAACCAATCAACCAAAAAACCCCACCAAGGCTATTTTTAAAAGATTAAACGTTCATCTAATCTTGAAGTGGTTACAACATAAAATAAACAGAAAAAATAACAAAGGGGAAATGAACAGATGAGAGTATATTAAAATTACAAAGTTTTGATGAAACAAAAAGGCCAAAAAGCCAGACTGGGGGAAGATGATAAATATAGCCGAATGCTTAACATATAATACTTAGTGCTACTAATGTCAAAGTAAGATGGACACCCCCTCAAAATGAAGACATGGAAATATTTGGTACAACTTGTTTTTATTTTATTTTTATGTGGTGTTGAGGACTGAACCCAATGCCTCACATGTGCAAGGCAAGCGCTCTGCCACTGAGCTACAACCCCAGCCCAACAACTCGCTTTTTGATATTTACTGAGGAGCAACAAATGTATTTAAAACAAAACCCTGCAGAATGTTAAATAAGATTAAATAAACTTTGGGGCAGTACTCCTCAGTGATTACACTAGCTGCTCCAGACAGTTTGCTGGACATGGGAAATCTCACAGCGTGGCAACACTGGGGAAGGCAGAATGCTGCACCCTACACGCAGTGGGGGTGAGGTGTGGGTAACTGTAGAAGCCCTGGAGTCACAGAACCAGGATGAATTTTGGGTCTGCCACTAATAACCCCATGGCTTTGGGCAGGTTCCAGTCCAATTCCAATGTTATACCATTCAGTTCACAGAGTTGCCATCAGATGCAAACGAGAATACCTTAAGTCTGTGAGCTCAGAGGCTCCTACCAGCAAGACCTCGTGATGGCTCACCTCAGCATACCTTAGAGAATTTTAGAGGAAGGAGACCTTTCAAAGTGCACCTAAGGCCCCTGAATTAGCTTCTTAAGAGTGCTTTAACTAAAGAACCACAAAAATTAAAAGCTATTTTTTGAATAGCTCTAGACATTGGAAGTCTGGCAACACAGCAGTGGTCAGGCCACACTTCCTCCAAAGGCTCAAGGTAAAGCCTTCCCTGCCTCTTCCATGTACTTTTTGGCCTGGGGCTGCATAACTATACTCTCTCATTCTTCACACCACCTTCTCCTTTTCTCCCTGTGTGTCTGAGTTTTCTCCAATTCTTTTATAAGGTCACTTGCCATTTGAAGTATGGTCTATTCAGGTAATCTACATTAGACTCATAGGAAATCCTTAATATATCAGTTTTCCATAGAGGGTATATTCACAGGTTCTGGAGGTTAATACGTGGATGAATCATTTTGAAGTCACTATATTACCTATTATTGGCCCAAACCATAATCCCTTTAAAATGGCAAAGTTACTAAAGGGCTCTAAACACTAATAACTGAGATTTTATTATTAATTCAATATTTATATTAGTCAGCTCTCTGTTATTATAATGAAATGCCTGAGGCAATTAACTTATAAAGAGGAAAGGTTTATTTTGGCTCATAGTTCTGGAGGTTTCAGCTCAAAATCAAGTGACCCCATGATTTTGGGCCTCTGATAAGGGAATGCATCATGGCAGGAATTTGTGGTGAAGCAGAATCAATTATACCACAAGCCAGGAAGGAAAGGAAAAGAGAAAAGTTGGGGTCCCACAACACCCTTAAAAGGCATGTCCCCCAATACCCTAAGGATCCCCATAAGGCCCTAACAACTCCCAATAACACAACCCCAGGGACCAAGCTTTCAATACACAGACTCTTGGGGGACATTCAAGATTCAAACTTAAAGCAGTATTCTATATCACCAACTTTCTACAGGAAGCTAGAAGTAATTAGATGCAAGTAGCTCAGGAATTTGACTTGTTAGGCAATAGGGATGCTACCTTAGTTTACTCAGTCAGCTATAATGAAGTATCATAAACTGGTGGCTTATACACAGCAGAAATTTCTCTCTCACCGTCCAAGATCAAGGTGCTGGCAAATTATCTGGTGAACACTCACTTCCTATTTCACAGATGGCAGCTTCTCACTGTGTCCACCCTTGGTACAAGGGGTTAGGGAGCTCTCTGGGCTTTTTCTACAAGGACACTAATCCCAGTCACACGGGGCTCCATGCTCATGACCTGATCATCTCCCAAAGATGCTCATGACCTGATCACCTCCCAAAGATGCCAACTCCTAATGCCATCACCTGGGGGTTAAGATTTCAACATATGAACCTGGGATATATGCACTCAGACCATAACAGATGTACATTACACAAACATTACTCACCAAATCCAAGAAGTTCAAAACCAGAGGAGGCCATGTGATAGAGGAGACAGACATTCACACTGTGAAAACCATTCTTTACCACAGGAACAAGGATGGTGCCTTGTGCACATTGAGACCATTTCAAAAACAAAACCAACACCACATTCAATGTGGCCAAATCAGGCAAACCCATGGGGATCTGGCTGCTCTGGGGAGAATGGCTGTCAGACTTTCAATGATGCTGATGTGTAGTTTTCTCTCACCTTCTATGTAGAGGGGCTCCACCACATCATGGTTAATCAGCTCGAAGTTCTCATGGCCAATCCAGTGTTCCACATTTCTCTTTCTGCCTGTGAAGAAGTTGTCCACCACGGTCACCTCATGGCCATCCATCATGAGTTTGTCAGTTAGATGGGAGCCCACGAACCCTGCACCTCCGGTAATCTGTATTGGGACACAGTGTGTGAAATACCCCCAGAGAAAGGCACATAAGAACACTGTGATGACTGACATCATGGAGGCACATCTTTGGTGCAGCCCCAACTTAAAATTTTTTAAGATGAGGGAAGAGGGGCTGGGGTTGTGGCTCAGTGGTAGAGCGCTTGCCTCGCACATATGAGGCACTAGGTTCGATCCTCAGCACCACATAAAAAATGAACAAAATAAAGTTATTGTGTTCAACTACAACTTAAAAAAGCAAAAAAAAAAAAAAAAAAAAAAAAAAAAAAAAATGAGGGAAGAAGAGGAAAAGTTTTTAAGGCAGGATCTCTACACTGACTCCAAAACAAAGAAGTAACACTATCTGTGAATTGCCAAGAAGCATAAAATGTTGAATTACCACTCAGTGAATGATACAGAAAAATCACAGTTACATGTTTCAAAATTTCTTCATGGGAATCTTTTTACATTAAATGTTTCTTATTTTACAACAGATGAGATGATTAACATCCCTTACAGTTGGCCCTCCATATCTGGGGTGCCACATCCACCAATCTAACTGACCATGGATTGAAAATCTAGGTAGGCCTGTGATGGTTATGTCCATACTAGACATTTACAGACTTTTTGTTGTTGTCATTAATTCCTAAACAATACAGTACAACTATTTAATAGCACTTACAGTGGGCTTGGATAAGTAATGTAGAGTTGAGTTAAAGTATACAGAAGGACGTAAATAAGTTCTATTGAAATACTAAGCTGTTTATATAAGTGACTTGAGTACTCTCAAGATTCCTTTATCCTCAGGGAGTCTAGAACCAATACCCCAGGGATAATAGGGACAAGTACATTTGATTCCAATACTACAAATGAAAAGAGTAATCAGCAAAATGTAAAATATATATATATATATATATATATTTAAATTGGACTAAGCATGTCAAGAAAAATGTTATCTTTCAGACTGTTTGTGAGAACAGGTAATTGATACCATTTGAGAACCAAAGATAAAAGTGAAGTTTCCCTGTTGGGTTAATGTCTGAGGGAGAACATGATCAGTGTCAACTAACAGCCCAAAGCAAAATGGCAGCCATGAGGAATCAGGACAGGAGCTAAGCAACAATGTGTCCTAAACCTGAAACCATCACAAATGTCAATTTTGTTGGAAAAAAGTTCTTAAAAATGAATATGAAGATTTTATTCAAACAGAACTGTGTAACTGGAGGTGACCAGAGAGAAGGGCTTCCTTTCCCAGGGGTATAGGAGAAGTACGAGTGCAAAGCACCATCTGGGGAAATAGATTTGCAACTGAGCCACGTTCCTGTCATGTTCTGTCTAGATGCCATTTCATCATGATTCTAGTTCCCTTCACCTGCCTGCTTCAGGCTGCAAGAAACATGTCTCCTTACTTCAAGTTCAACTTACAAACGTAAGTTCCTAGGTCTATAGTGTAAAACTTCTATTTTCCAAGAATCACCTGTTCAACTGAAATCTCACAATGTGATATTAGCCACAGGCGAGAGAAGGTAAAGCCAAGCAAAGAAAGAAGATGGGTAGGAAGGGAGAATATTATTATGGTTTATATCTGGAAGGTCCCCCTGCATGATCCCCATGCAGCATGGTTAAGAAGTGGGGCTTTCAGGCAATGATTGGATCATGATAGCTCTGACCTTGCTAGTAGATTAATCCATTAGCCGGTTTAATCCACTGATTGATGAATGGTAGGTAAGACATAGTTAAAGAAGTAAGTCATGGTGTGTGTGCCCCAGAAGGGTTTTATCTTCATTCCAGCTCCTTTCTCTCTCTGCTTCCTGGTTTCCATGAGCTGAGCAACTTTCTTCTACCATGACCTTCTGTCACAATGTTTGGTCTCACCTCAGGCCCAGAGAAATGGAGTTGACCAATCATGTACTGAGAGCTCTGAAACTGTGAGCCAAAATAAGCTCTTCCTCTTTAAGTTGTTCCTGTCAGGTGTTTTGGTCACAGTGATATAAAACTGACTAACACAAGGAGGCAGCATTGGGCAGATTCCAAGGAGAACCAATTCCTAACCACTAACTAGATATTTCCATATGTTCTGATGAAAATACTGACAAAATGGTTTAAGACAGAATGGTTGATAAAGAAGCTCTGATTTTCAATAGTTTTCAACTAGCTTGAGAGCATCATTTTCTGAACCCCCTTTGCTTTAGAGATAAGAAACTGATGACGCAGAAGTTTAATTTTTTTATTAAGATCCTCAGATGATCAAGTCATGGCAACATAGATCTATACTCTTCCTGATTACATGCTTTCTACACTACCTGTCAATTTGTCTAGTTTGTGCTTTTTTTTTTTTTTTTAAAAACCTATAGTACCCCTGCTGCTATAGCTTGGATATGTTATGTCCCCCAAGGGTCCATGTGGTAGAAACCTGGTCCCCAGTGTAGTGATGCTGGGAAGTGATGGGACTTTTAGAGATAAAGTTTAGGCCACTAGGGATGCCCTTGGAATATATTAATATAGTTCTCATGGGATTCCAGTTAGCCCTCACAAGAGGGTTATCATAAAAGATCAAACCTGGCCTCTACCTACTCTCTGGCTTCCTACCTGGTCTTAAAATATCTTCTTCCTCACAGACAGCTGCCATGATACCCTCTACCAGGAGGTCCTCACCAGGGGCCAAGAAATGGGGCAGTCCCATCTTGGATCTTCAGTATACAAGACTGAAAGTGAAGTAAGCCTTTTTTCTTTATGAAGCACTGATCTTCAGATACGTTACAGAAACACACTTGCATTTTACTTATGTACCTGCATAATGATTATGAGAAAGAATTTTCTTGGAAAATATCTTATATTCAAATGTGATATACCATTACTGTTTAACTCATGGGATGAGATTTCATTTCATTTTAACTTTATTCTGTACCTCTTTACAATATCTCTCTAGTTTTTAAATCAGAAAAAAATAAAAAAAAATTCAACAAAAAACTTAACCCTTTAAAAAAAATTACACAATTACACACACACACACACACACACACACATATTTATATATTTAGTTGTTGATGAATCTTTGTTTTATTCACTTATTCATATGCAGTGCTGAGAATCAAACCCAGTGCCTCACACATGCTGGGCAAGTGCTCTACCAGTGAGCCACAACCCCAGCCCCTTAACCCCTTTTAATGCAACTCTGTATAGTCATATGCAAGTGTTTCTGAAAGGAAGATATTCTGTGGCACCCCAACATCATCTCTGCATCCATCCATTTCAGCCTGGCTGAAAGCCTGAGCTCGCAAAAACACAAATACAGTATGTTACATTACAGGATTCCTCTAACATTTCACAAGTGATATACAAGATCCTTGGAAGCACCTTAGTCTTGATTAAAATGCACTAGAATTCTGTATTGTTTTAAAGTAACTTCTAACATAAATACTTAAGAATTGATGTAACAGAAGAATAGTTATAGTTATAATTTTTAATCCCTTAGGGAAGTGTTTCAAATGAAAGCAAAATGCAAGACTTCTTACATGGAAATAGATTAGAACTTCGACAGCTTGGCATGACTCTGAATATATGAGCTCATCTCAATGTGCTTATACTTTTTGTCCTTGTGAGTGCTAATAGGCAATTAAAATTGTCCAGTTCAAGGTCAGCATTCTATCTCAGGCTGCTCAGCAAATTAGCAAAGAAAATTATATTTCCAAATAAAGCTCTTCTTTGTTATAAGGCTTAAACAATTATTGAAAAGGTATATAAGTTTTTAATAACCATGCCAGACCTGGGCACCAATCAAAAGAGATGATATCTCATTAACAGGGAAGATCACTGGCACTTTCCAAACAGAAAAGGCCAAGAATAATGGATTCTGGTCACCTTTGGTAATTTCATGGTGAGAGAGGCAGGAAAGATCAAAGTCTATTGCTCCTACCCAGAACCCTGATTATAGAGTAGAGGTGTTATTTTACTCCCAGTTCTGGCTCAGGGATTGCTCCCTGAGGACAAAGTTAGTCAATAAAAATAGAGTATGCCAAAGTTCTCCCCAGAGGAATTGACTTTATTTGAAAGAGAAAATGGTGAAGTTTAAGCATTAGGGTGTTTAAAAAAACCCAAACAAACAATGGAGAAACAGGTAGTAGGATGAAGGTAGAAGTGGTTGCTCTGAGAATAAAAAGTCAAAGTCTTGGACAACTAGTTTAACATAGAGAACCAGAAAAAGAAATACTTAAGAGCCCTCTGTAATCAGAACAAACCCCAAAGACTGGTCTAAAAATCTACCACTTTAAAGGAGTCAGAATTTCATTAAATCAAATAGTAGCATAATTTATAAAAGAGCACTTTTTTTTGTTTTATTTATTTATTTTATTGGTTGTTCAAAACATTACATAGCTCTTGACATATCATATTTCATACATTTGATTCAAGTGGGTTATGAACTCCCATTTTGTGTTTGTTTGTTTGTTTATTTATTTATTTATTTTTATGTGGTGCTGAGGATTAAGCCCATGCTTCACACATGCGAGGCAGGTGTTCTACCACTGAGCTATAGCCCCAGCCCTGTATTGATGTTTAACAAGAAGACTATTAGCCAAGGAAGCCATCACCGTATTTACCAAAGTGGTCTTTGAACCATAAAAAATTGAAAACGTCTGGAAGTTTCATACTTCCTCATAAAGCTAAACATAGGATTACGTGATTCAGTAATTCTACTCTTAAGTATACCCTAAAACTGAAAACCTACACACACACACACACACACAGATGTTTTGTTGTAGCATTGTTTATAGCACCCTCCAAGCAGAAACAACTCCCAATGTCCAACAATTGAGAAATGGATAAACAAATGAGGTCCATCCACAAAATGGAATATTCTTCAGCCATAAAAAGGAACGAAGTACTGCTTCATAAAACAGTATGGATGAGCCTGAGAATCATTATTATCAGTGAAAGAAACTAGTCACAATAGACCACATATGTTATCACTTCATTTGTATGAAATGTTTCTAAAAGGAAAATCCACAGAGACTAAGTCGTTTTAGTCGCCAGGAGCTGGGGGAGGGGTGAGAAAAAGTAAGTGCTCGCGGGTACAGGGTTTCTTTTTGGAGTGATGAACATACTGTGGAATTTTATGTGGTGCTGTTGCAGCTATACAATCTACAAACCACTGAACTGGTACTTGAGAAGGTTGGATTTGGTGGCATATGAATTATCTCTCCATTAAAAAAAAAGCGTCTTAATATTACAAATATTAATCAGATGTGCAAACTTACCAAAATTCTTTTTCGATCCTTTTCTGATAAGAACTTTACTGGTGGGTATTTCTGGGTAAAGCTGTATAATATGAAGAGATTAAAAAAGAAAAGTCAAATATCTCCTGCATTGTCTCCATTGACAATCAGAACAAACACCAGATTCTCAAGTTCTTGCAATTTGCTCCTACTCTCTTCACCACCATTAGGAGAGCCCGAGGCCCTAGCTAGCTTCAGTTTAAGAAATATCTCACCTGATCCTGTTTAGAGTCGAGCTAAAGACACAACATAAGTTTCTATCCCTGGGAGGTGAAAACTTAGAAGCTGCAAGCAGACATGAAGGAGGAGGCAGCCCTGCCTCCACCAGACCTATAAAAACACAAAATGTGGGAGCAAGAGGCGTTGGGGGAGTCCGTTGGAGTCTAGACGGGGGGTGGCTGCGGCATGAGGTCAGGCCCAGGCAGGAGACTGCCACACAAGCTGAAAACAGGAGATGTTAACGAAACTGGCTCCCGTTACAGGCAGTCTTGACTTCTCGCAGCCCCCTTCTGTCATCAACGCTTCGGGAGGACAGGGTCCCTCTGCCTTAGGTCTGGGACCACACTGCAGGACCTGAAGGAGCTAGACAGATGACTGTTGGTCAAATAAAACTTTGAGTCATTCCATCTCCTTCCTGTTTCTCATGTGGGGCTAGCAACGTAGAGCTCTGGTGGTCCAGGGCACCCCTCATACCAGCTGCACTCTCCCTCATCTCCACTAAGCAACAGCACCCTGGCATCCCACACTTAGCGGCATGGCATCAGGGAAAAGCACTCTTTCCCGCAGCAGCATTGTGCCTGGCCGTAGCTCTCGGACTGCTGGAATCCATAATGTGCTCCGCCTCAGGCCTGGGTATTGACCTGCTGTGACAGTTTACCTCCCCCACCACCTGGTGATGGGGACAGAACCTGGGCCAGAACCTGCTAGGCAAGAAATCCACCAGGAGCTATCCTCCAGCCCAGAGGTTCATTCTCAGCCATCCCCATGACTTTAGAGTAAGAGCCTGAGGAGAATGAGATGGAGCTGCGCCCTGGCAAATGAAGCAGAAGGACAGAGAAGTCCACTCAGTGAGAGCCAGTGGCAGAAGACTGCAGAGAGAACCTCTCCTTGGGACTGAGGGTATTCAAGCCTCTAAAATAAAGTGGTAAAATCTTTGCATTTTACTTGTGCACATCCTCCCATATTCTTAATTCGTCTCTAGGTTACTTGCAATGCCTTATACAATGTGAATGCTATGCAAACAGTCATTACATTTCATGGTTTAGGAAATAACAAAAAGAAGAGTCCGTTCAGGTACACAGTATGGGCACATTTCTCTCTCTCTCTCCACCCCCCACCCCCCCACTCACATACCCATCCACCCCCCATACCCATATATATTGGTTTCTTTTTTTGTCCTGGAGATTGAACCCAAGGGTGGTTTTTTTTTTTGTTTGTTTGTTTGTTTTTTTAACCATTGAGCACATCTCCGGCCCTTTTTTATTTTTTATTTTAAGTTTCTAGGGCCTCTCTAAGTTGTTGATGTTGGCTTTGAACTTGTAATCCTCCTGCCTCAGGATCCCAAGTTGCTGATTATAGGCGTGTGCCACCACACCCGGTTCCCTTGAAATATTTTTGATTCATGGATGGTTGGTTGAATCTGATGCAGAACCTGAGGAATGGAAGGACAACTACAGTCTCTATTTGAAAGCTTAAAATGAAACAGTATGATACTTATACCAGGAATAAAATGTGTTTTCTTATAGGAAATGTACTTAAATAAAAGTGAAGCAGATACGAACACTGCACAATACATACATGTACCATTACATAGTACCCCATAAATATATACAACTTTTATGTTCATTTTTCAAAAATCTGAGGGAGAAGCACAGTTACCCACCATGTAGTTAGTGTATGTAGGATGGACTAAAATATATTTCCAACACTGTGTGCTGAAACCTGTAATTTAATAAACAAAAAATAGTTTGGGTCTCCTGCTTTGGTTTTCTTCAGTATGCAGCAACTGTGTTCCAGAGCTTGTACACAGTACCAAGTCATTCAACTTTTAAAAATCATTTTATACCCTTGTTTCTTCCTTGGAGAAATCACACAAAAGAAGCAGTGACAGGATGGGAGAGCCATCAGGGTCCTCCCCTGTATGTTTGCCTTCTTATAGGCAAGATGATCTGGGTACAGCTACTGGGTGCCCATGGATGGACTACATTCTCAGCCAGTAGCTCAGCACTCCCCAGCATCTGCTGCACTCAGTGCTGGACAGTGGGCAGCAGAGGGGCACAGAGCCTGAATCGGGGCAGTGGGGTAGAATCTCACCCAGTGTATTGGCTCATCTTTTAATTTAGAACCTTAGTGGAACACTGGTTCCATGCTAGGCATGGGGATACGGCAGTAAATACGGGAACCGGTCGGTCCCTAAGCATACAAAGTCTGCATCCTTGAGTGTGGGAGACCAGCCGGCAAGCAGAGGCAGAGGAAGTATGAATTAAATGATGGGTCTTTTCTTATACCTGCCCAAATTAATCCTTTCATAATTGTTTTAGGTCATTTCAGATCATAGGTGCTTTATGTTATTTTCAGATCTTACTGCTTAGTAGGACAGCCTGCAAGAAGTACTCCTGCTTGGAATTTCAGTTAACATCACTAGCTACCTATTCAAAGAACATTTAAAGAGACAGAGATGAAATTAAACAAACAGCATTGTAGCAGGCATATCTGCAGGTTTAGCATTCATGAATTCAATTATGGATCAAAAAATATTTTACAAGTGTATCTACTGAACATGTATAGGCTTATTTTTTTTTTTGTCATTAGTCCCTAAACAATACAGTATAACAACTATTTACATGCCACTGACACTAAATAGGCATTATAAGTCATCTAGAGAGGATTCAAAGTATAAACGAGGGCATTTTGTAAGTTCTATGCAAATACTGCACCATTTTATATAAGGCATCTGTGGATTTTTAATATCCACTGGGAGGCCCTGGAACTAATCCCCTATGGACGCCAAGGGACAAATGTATAATCAAAGCATTAAGCGGGAATGTGATAAGGAACAGAAAAGGAACATATATAATCCACTTACTCAGGCTTCTGCAATGGCACTGTCCTCCTATCTCTCTCTATAAATATAACCTTCAACCTTGAAAAATATCCTCACTTCTTAGAGGCCACTCTGCTCAAAGTGACAAGCGTTTCAAGAAAACATTTCTAGATATATTCTTTTTCTTCTTTTTTTTTTTTTTAATGTAGTCCCTCCCTATTCTTTTTTTCTCATTTTTTTTATTAGCTGCACATGACAATACAATGATCTTGACATATCATATATCTGAATCAAATGGGTATAATTTCTCATTTTTCTGAGTGTACATATTCTTTTTGGTACTAGGGATTGAACCCAGGAGTGCTCTTACCATATCACAGCTCTTTTTAATTTTTATTTTGAGATAGGGCCTTGCTAAGTTACTGAGGGTAATGTCAAATTGTGATCCTCCTGCCTCAGCCTCCTAAGTCGCTGGGATTACAGGAGTGCACCACAGGGCCTGGCTCCAGGAACATTCATGTATTGCCAGCATCGAGGTGGCTGTTTGATTCTTATTGCATTCAGGAAAAATAAAACCAGACAGAAATCCATTAATAAGCACAAACCTTTGCAATCACATCTGCACTTGGCTTTTCAACTGAAACAAAACCCAGACTTTTTCTTTTTTATCATTTGACTTGCTCACGAACTTGAAAGACAAAATCGTTTTAGATGAGAAACCAAAAAGCAGATCCAAGAGGCAAATGTTTACTCTCCATCTCTAATTAGAGACAGTTCTACCAGTGTGACAAGAATATGTTACTGGCAAATCCTTAAGATTGAGTTTGGACTTATACTTCTTTTTCTGGTTCAAAAGCACAAAAAGCATCACAAAAGTATCAAAAGAAATCATGGATTCTCAGATTTTAAGAGATCTTATCTGTAAGCTATCAATAGCTTATTTTCCTCAAAAATAAATGAATGTTTTTGTCTCAAGAAAAAGACCAGTAGACAGACTTTTTCTTGAACCAAAAAAAAATTTAGTGCAATATTTCTTACATTTTATTTAAAAAAAAAAAAAAATCTTCAATTAAAATCTCTCAAAGTAGCCAGGCATGGTGGTGTGTACCTGTAATCCCAGCAGCTTAGAAGGATGAGGAAGGAGGATCAAAAGTTTGAGGCCAGCCTCAGCAACTTAGTGAGGCCCTAAACAACTTAGTGCGAATTTGTCTCAAAATTAAGAATAAATAAATAAAAAGGGCTGGGGATGTAGCTCAGTGGTTCAGCATGCCGGGATTCAATCCCCAGGACTGAAAAAAAAAACAAAAACAAAAAAACTTTCAAATTATGCAGACTTATTGAGGGCAGAATTTCTGGCTCCCATCCAATGAAATTGATACATGCAATAGAATTTCAGCACAAAATTTTGGAAAGGAAAATTTAAAGCCCAAATAATAAATAATTAATTGGGGACTAAGAAAAGATGAATTATTTGTTTCATACTTCATTCTGCTTCTGATTCATTCATTCTGCTTTACATTCCTAAGGGAATTTGTTAAAAAACACCTCTACCTCAGTAAGAGTTGAAAATAGTTTGCCTGACTGCTCAGGATAAGAGGATAAGAAGAAAATAACGAAAATGAATTAACACATTTGATGAAAATTCTTGATCCCTACTTCTCTTTGTTCACTTAATGGAAACCAAAGAAAAACTACTCTTCACTTCTTCCTTTTTGTTCGGTATAGGATGCTGACATGAATCACCAACTCATCCCAAGGAAAGAAAAAAATTACACAACTTTAATTAATTTTTCATTTTCTTTTTAAAATTTCTCAACTACCACATAATGCCTTCACATATGTACACCCAAGGAAAAAGCACCAGTGCTTAAGACTTCATCAATTGGAAATGCAAGTGATGGAGAGAGGACACAGGCACGACATTCAAGAGGGAAAGCCTGAAGATTAAGGGATGAGAAGGATATTTTGCCAAAATCTAATTCAAATGAAATCTTTGCCATACTATTCAAGCTTTCTCTCCCAGCCACTTCACCTGGACTAAATTCTGCAAATCTCCTGATGTACTCTGGTGGCAAAAGCAGATACTTGACTAAACCTGACAAATAACTGACTCCGCGTCCAGTTTCTTAAGTGTGATCACCCGGTGCTTTGATTTACACTCTCCAGGTAGCTCTCTTGGGTTGGAACTGTTGGACTAATGAACACATGCCAGAAGCCATCTGACCACTTTGCAGAAATGAAAAGGAGGTTAAAGCTTATTTGGCTTCAACTTGTCATAAATCTACAGAATCCAGGAATTCACAGGGTTAGAGCAAGGACTTCAGCACACCCAGATCCTTTCTTCTTCTCATGTGCTGACTGCTGGAATATCACACTCAAATGGAAGCAAAACCAAAAAAGCTTTATGTTGTAATTTAGTTAAGTTGCTGAAGTTTATGCAAAGCAAAGTGATTTTAGGATTTTTAGCTTAGCATTTGTGGATGCGCTTCAGCAAGACCTCTGGAAAAATAAATTTAAAATGAATTAAATAGATATAAATCTTTCTTAATGGAGAGTATCTAGTGCTTTCATTAGAAAAGGTCCTTAAAGACAAAAGGTGGAAAAAATAGTTTAAAAACTGCAATTTTTTTTTTTTTTTTTTTTTTTTTGTGGTGCTGGGGAATCAAACCAGCATTGTAATGGCATTGTAATGCAAGGCAAGCACTCTACCAAATGAGCTGTATACCTAAGCCTGCATTTAGATTTTAAAGTTCTTATGGAAACGGTTTTCTCTTGAGGATGCCTTATTATAAAAGTTTCATATATAAGTTCAACTGAGAAAAACCTGTATTTGATATTGACCTTTCCTGTATGTAACTAAGATACAAGCATTTTCCTCAAGTCAAAACAAAAAGTGCTCTTACCTTTTCTCCAAATCTCTGATTTTCTCTCTGAGTGGTTCAACAATCTAGAAAAATCAACCAAAATCAGGTTTAAAACAAAAGCAGTCTTCCACTATTCTCACTCCATTCTGATGTTTCATACAAACATGAAATAATGCAAAATAGATTTTAATTCCATCTACAAATTCACTTCCAGTCTGAAATTAAAATAAACCACTTGAGTCACAATGCTAGAATCAAGCAGATAAACTCCATGTTGGCACTAACTTCATAGGTCTACATCTGAGCAAATCGACCTCTTTACTCACTCACCTTACTAGGAAGAATGTGAAAGGTGTTTCAGGTTCATAAAAACGAGCAGATCAACACTTTCCATCTTTTCAGGAACCAAAGAATCCCCCCAAGTGTGGCCCCCACAATCCTAACATTTTGTTTTTGTGATTATATTTGTGTTATCAGCTCTTGCAAATAATCGCAGACTGTGAGTCAAACCACATTCGTGTGTGTCACCATCCACCAGGAGCTCAGGCAAAAAGAGAGCATTCCAAGGGCTTCCCTGGGACGTTGGCATTTGGCTTCAAATCCAAAGTGGATAACTCTCTAGCCCCTTCCACAGCCCATGCTGTAATAGTCTAGCTGTATCTCTATTTACTTATCTGTTATAGGCAATTGTCTTAAACTAGAAAGTATATGATCAAGTAGAGGTGCTTGCTTCAGCTAGGTGGGTGTGTGATCACCAATCTGTGCATATGGATGCTGTTTTTATTTCTCAAGTCCTTGCATTTGGTTTGGGGTAGCTTTCCTCTGAGCATCTGCTCAGGGACTGGGTGTTGGCATTTGCCTCCACCTCTCACAGGTTATCACTTCCCTTCCTCAAAGAAAGGGTCATCTGAAGCCACGTAAAAGTCTTAAATGTATTTTTCCTTCAGGGCAAAATTTGTTTTAATATGCCAGACCTTTATAAAAATGGGCAAATGGTGACAGAGACATTGTATCTTAAAGAAGCGAATGATTATTTGAGAGATAATTTCAAAATCCCTGAATGACATAAAGCTGCCAAAATAAAGAGCTCAGAATAAGCAAAGGAAGTGAAACTGACAAATATATAATTAAGACAAAAGAAAATATGGAAAAGAAACCAACCTCTTCAATCTTGCTTTCAATTTTTAATTCGCCATTTTCCTGGATAGACCTGTTGAGCAGAAAATTACAACACTGAAATCAGTTGAAAGAACTTGTGACTTCAAGATTTGTTTCTGCACAAATTGCCACAACAAACCCAAGGCTGCAGCTGTATCCCTCCCTGACACAGTGATCTGTGCCGACTCCCTCCGACAGGGGGCGTGAAGGGGAAAGTAGGACACCAGGAGGAGGAAATCTTAAGTACATATATGCAAACATTCTCAGTTTTAACCAACTGGTTGTTTGTATCAAACCAAACTAATTTCATCTCTGCATTACAACATGGGATTTTAAATTAGAAGCAGGAAGCCATGTCTATAGGAGTATATGCTTCTCTGCAGGGCTTTCCCAGGGATTTAACACAAAATGGAGTTTCTCCAAGTAAAAACAAAGCTCCTTTAAATGGGATCTGAGCACCCCACCTAGCCACACACAGCAGCCTTTGTCAGGAAACACACAACCCAGTGGTAGGAATCAGACCAACATGGCCCCACCCACCTTGCAAAACCAACTCCACATGAAAAGCCTGCTGGGGGCCCAGTAACCTTCTACCCTTGTATCCTTGTGCAGCAGGACTGAACTTCTTGTGCCAGTTTCACCAACACAAACGTGTCATTCTTACATTTCTTAACACCATGGAATAACAAAGTGAAGCAATTTTTCTTTAAATGGAAATCTGTACTAATGGTGCCAAATTTGCTTCACAGTGAATACTCATTACTTTTTTGCTGACTTTTTAAAAAGGGCTATTTTTTAATTTTGTAGAGATAATTAACATAAGGATTTTGCAAGTGTCTCTCCTGCCCTGTTAACTGGCACAAATAATGCATACTCAAGTCAGAGGGTTCCTCAAGCCTAACCCTGGGATTGACAGGTGGTCTCAGCATCCACATCTAGTGTGAGCTAAGCATCCCTAATCTGAAGATTTAAAAGCATAAAATCCAAAATACTCCAAAATCTAAAATTATTTGAGAGCTGACAAGATAACATAACACAAGTGGGAAATTCTACACCTAACTTCATGTGATAGGTCACACACACGGAAAAAGAAGGGGTAGTGAAGAGGTGAAGAGAGGAGCTGACCATTGTTTACATCTGGAATTTCCCTGGGTAACATTCAAATCAGCTGAGTTCCTTGAAAATATCCACAGCAGAAAAGAAACAGCCCAAATGTGTAATTAGCAAAATACTCAGTTTCACTAAAATTATTCGACTAACCCATGAAAACAATAGGATGTAAGTAACTACTAAAATGTGTCTATAAAACCCAACCACAATACCCAAGTAATTAAAAACAATTACCTCATATTAACAAAGTTGCCCCAAACAGCTGTGAGAGAGAGAGAGAGAGGAAAAAAAGTCAATATTTAAGTTTGCAGCATTCTGGTATTCCAACTAACAAAATTTTATTTTATTTTTTTTCTCACATGTGCTAGGCAAGCACTCTACCACTGAGCCACAACCCCAGCCACAAAATTTTGATTTTTAACCACTGAGAACCTGGACTATAGCTCATGCAGACAATAAATGTACACTTTGTTTTCAGAAAAATTAAGTCCTGCAAAATAGAAAAAAATGATCCTATTTATCCCTGCTCCCAGGTTCACAGTTTTGGTATTTAAAGTTCAAGGGTGCATCTGTTTTGAATGACAGTATGTCCTCAACATAGCATTTCTGGAAGAGTCAGTCACAAAAATTAAAGAACTGTATGCCTCAACGAGAACCCAGCGTTCAATCCAAACTCTCCCTTTAAACATTAAGGAAAACTAACCACAGAAGCTAAATAATGGCCTGCAGTTGAGGCTGATCACCACTAGGTGGCCAACATTTCTCAGCACTTAATCCACCTCAGTCAATGACTTCTCTGCAGCTCTCTGGTTACAGACACCCCATGTCTTCAGACCCAACAGTGAAACCGGACCTTGGATGATTTTAAAACACAATAGGGGGGTTGGGGCTGTAGCTCAGAGGTAGACTGCCTGCTTCGCCCGCCTGCCCCACATGTGAGAGGCCCTGGGTTTGATCCTCAGCACCACATACAAAAATAAGTGAAATAAAGGTGTTGTGTCCAACTACAACTAAAACAAACAAAAAAAAAAGATATTGTGTCCATCTACAACTAAATAAATAAAATTTTAAAAATAAATAAAATACGAATGAGCATTCTGAATCTGAAAATACAAAACCTGAAATGTCCCCAAATTATAACTTTTTGAGCCCTGATATGACACAAGTGGGAAATTCCATTACCATGAAATATTGTTTTATCCACAAAATCATTAGAGACTACATAAAATTACCTTCAGGTTACATGTCTAGGGAACCATGAATTTCATGTTTGGAGTTGGGTCCCATTCCATTATGTATATGCAAATATTCCAAAATAACATCCCTCAAAATCCCAAATATGAAACAGTGCTGGTCCTAATTATTTGAAATAAGGGATACTGAACCATACTAGACCATAAGAAATCACCTTAAATTAGCGAGCAGAACATTATTTCATAGACACTTTTTGCCATGAATACATACATGGTCTGTCTTAATACTTTTTTAAAAAAAATATTTATTTTTTAGGTGTAGATGGACACAACACAATGCCTTTATTTTTTGTGGTGCTGAGGATCGAACCCGGGTCCCGCCCATGCAAGGCGAGCACTCTACTGCTGAGCCACAATCCCAGCCCTGTCTTAATACTTTACATGCATTCCAATTTGGTCTCTGACCAGATACTGCATGCCTACAATGTACCTGGTACTCTTAGATGATTCCAGGTGCAGGAGCTGAATAAAGAGCAAATACAAATGCCATAGGGATGGGAAGTTTTTGCATTTGGGAAGGCCTTGAGGCTAGTATCTAATAACCCTAGGCACTGTCACATTACTATCTCTGGCACTTAGTATGGGTTAATAAATGTTTACTGAATAGAATTCAGTGTCCAAAATCATCCCCAATAAGAAATTCCCATTGTCAAGAGGGGAATGTAACTGATTCCATAAAAGCACATCTTTCTTCAGAGGAGGAACTATTAATAGAAAAGATAGCAATAAATGACTAAACAAGTGGTAAAGAAGCAAGAAATGGGAGAAAATTAAAAAGCTATACTAGATTTATTATTCATTAAAAAAAAGTATTTTTTGGATGATGTACTATTCTCAGGAAATAAGTATAGAAGCAGGAAAGTCATCTTCACAAAAATATAAACTTACCCACACAAAAAAAGGGAATAAATCCCAAAGCCCCACAACTGGAACCTCCTATATAAATTACAGTAGAGTCATTCAAGGCAACCTGAAAGGGTAAGCATATGCGACGATATGGTAACCTGTGTAGGGGAAGGGGCTGATCCCTTTCCTCCCCATCACAAGGGTCTCAGTCAACACTCTTGTAACAGGTTCACAGAGAAAAGCAAAACATGCATATTTAACCACAGTTTTATGAGACATGAAAGCCTTCAAAATAGAGACCCAAAGACATAAAGGAAAATGTCTATTTTATGCTTCAGTTGGAGAAGCAGAAACAACTCTGTAAAGATGTGACTGGACAAAGGGTGTGGCTAACAGTGATGATGCCAGGGAGTCCAGCAAGTCCTGTCTGGCCAGATTCTTCTTGGCCCCTCTGTGCGGTATTCCTTCTTCCTGGGAATGCAGCAGGACCCCTTCTGAAATGGAGGTCTGATGACCTACTATTAGATAAGGTAGATCAGAGAATCTCTTAATAGCCAGCTCTGAGACAGAAAAGTCTGGGAAGGTAAGAGGACTATTTTTAGACTCTATGGCTGACTTTGGGGAAAAAGGACTTTAGTTTCTAGGGCTTGTCCTGGAGAAGAGGAATTCTGGTTTCTATGACTTGGTTCTGTGGAAGCAAGAGATAGGAGGGCAGAGAGATCTTGGTTTTAAGTCTGCTTCTAAGGCCTTCCAATGTCCAGTATTCAAAATACTTAGCATACCAAAGCACTATACTTTGGGGTGTCATTTTCTGAGCCTCTACACATATTAATGCTCTTATGACAGGAAGAATATATATGATGAAAATATATGTATACAGTATGTTAGTAAGTTTCCCATTATTCTAATAAAATGCCTGAGATAAACAACTTAAGAGGAGAAAAGGTTTATTTTGGTTCATAGTTTCAGTCCGTGGTCGCTTGACTCTGCTTCTTTGGGCCTGTGGTAAGGAAGAATACCGTGGCAGGAAGCACTTGGCAAAGCTGTTCACCTCATGGCCAACAGGAAGCAAAGGAGAGAGGAAAGGGGTGGGGTCCTAATATTCCCCAATGACCCAACATCCCTTCCCCCAGGAATGAGGATTCACCTCCCAACAACATCACTGGCTGGTGACCAACCCTTTAACACAGCCTAACTTGCACTATTAAAATACCCTGAAAAAACAGAAATTCTCAAAAACCTGAGTTTAAATGCTGACATGAGAAATTGTTTGTTTCTTCTTAGATTTAGGAATTTGCCTTGCTTTTAAAAAAGGAGGGGAGAGATTTTTTGCTAATCTCCATGCACCTGTTACCCTGTTCTGTCTCCTCCTAGACCCCTGTGAACACCTGGGTCAGTCCCCACCTCAGGCACAAGGCACTGTCACCACCTGACAGAGCCCACAGAGATCACAGGGGAGGCACCTGTTGTCGACTCATAGGAACTTTTTCTTAAATAAATGGGTACATTTCAAATAAATGGACTCATTCTGGCTTTAGGATTAAGCTCCTTATCCAAACAGACTAGGAGAGGCCTTCTCTGGCTATGCTATGGCACTGTGTATACAAGGAAAAATCATTCTTTAATGTGCTTTCTGGCTGGGTAGCACCTTTTGATGACTTTTCAAATCATTCTATGGCTCCTGGTTTATTTAGCTTTTTTTCTTTCACCCTTTGCTCAAATCAGTTTAAAATGTAGGTTTCTGCGACACCCTCAGTCCTATCACCACTTAGTCCCATTCAGAGAATCAAAAGTTGCCTTCCGCTCGCAGACACCTATTCCCTGAGGCCTCTTTCCTTTCCCACTGGTCCTCCTTAGCCCCAACTCTCCAGGAAGCAACTGAGGCCCCAGCTTTACCAACATTTATAAATGGTAAATGAATAAGGCCTAGATCTGTTTCTGCAGCTCTTAGACTGCAGCTCCCATCTGGAGGTACTCCCTCCTTCCTGGTTGTTCTTCCGCTCCTCCCCAATCAGACCTCACAGCAGCCCACTCTCTGCCCTCCCTAAGCCACTCACCACTCTCCACCCTCTTGGCTCTTCTGCAGATGATGTCTGGGCCAGAAGCGGCCACCACCAAGCACTGCCAAGCTAACTGGAGCACTCCATCCTCAGGAAAGCATCCTTACTCTCATCTCCTGCGTAGTGACACGGGTGGCCCCCTGTCACCACACTGCCCACTTTCCATTTGCTCTAACTGGTGGTTTGCAGGAGGTCCCTCTTCAAGATGAGGTATTTTCTTACTCACATTTGCAACACCAGGCACATGACATTCAAGCACTAAAATTAGTTGTGTATGTCACGGAATTTTGTTCCTTTTCTTACAAATATTTATCTTCTGCTTATTACTGTGTATTTTCAAGAGTGTTATAACCAATTTGTTTTTACAACATTTTCATGTCAAGGGTTTTGGACCTCTTTTTAAATGATCAAAAGCTGTGCCTGCTTCTCATTGGAGAGCAGAAAGAAGCTCAGCACCCAGCACAGACAAAAGAAGAGAGGCACACGCAGGCAGGACAAAGCCTCCTGACACAGTGCACTTGGTCTGAGGGGAGACACAGCAGTTTCCTGTAGTTCCAGAGCCTGGCTCTGTGGTTTTAAGTAGCTCATCACAGACTTTAAAAGTTAAACATGGTAAAAAATTAATCTTGCTTGTAGAACTTTGCAATCTGTTTGAGTTATTTTGACCCACCTTATAGTGTCTCAGAGGGACAGCTGAGAATTGCTAAGAGATATACTCTATAAATATAAATATCTGAACTAAGCTGAAATGAACTGAATCCATTACACATAATACCAAGAGTCAACATCATGAAAAGTAAGTACAGTCAAGGGTTGCACTGCAACACCGTGGTCAACGGCAGATGGCACGTACCAATGGTGGTCCTGTAAAATTATAATGGAGCTGAAAGGTTCTATCGCCCAGTGACATCAAGGCCATTTAAATGTTGTACTCTAGGCATTCCTGACCTTTTTTTGGTAATGCTGGTGTTAACACACCTACTGCACTGACAGACATATCTAAGTACAACACATACAATTATGTACAGAACATAATATTTCACAGTGACAACAAACAACTAAGTTTCTGGTTTATTTATTACTATGGTATGTTTCTTAAAATG